ACTATAATGTTAAATTGAGTCTCCACAAGAGCATAAAATTGTTCTAAAAAACCTCTAGTTTCGCATTTATTTTGCATCAAATAAATTCAGGTTGCTCCGGTATAACCATCCACAATAGTGAGAAAATAAGGGTGATCATGAATAGAAAGAATTAACATAGGACCCAAAATATCCATATGCACTAATTGAAAGCGATGAGTAGTAAAAAATTAATTGTCCGGAAAGGGTAATCTCTTTTGCTTAGTATAATGACAGATTTCACGGTGTTTCATAGAGTCATTACAAGGAATTGCCGAATGAGATGCATGTAAAATCTTTAATCCGGAGTTGGATAAATGCCCTAATCTATAATGCCATAAAACATCGAATTATGAGAAACGGATGAACAAGTTCTAAGTGTGCGAACGGAATTGATAGAAAGGAAAGAAGATTGTTGCGATAGAATATAAACCGTCTCTCATCGCCTAAACCAATCATCTTCTTGGATTATAGGTCCCGAATAGCACAACGAGTAGAAGAAAAAAACGAGATAACAATTCGGTGATTTTGTTAACTTGCTTGCGGATATCAAGTTAAAAGAGAAAGTAGGAACAAATAATGCATCTATGAAAACAAGAAAATCGGACAAAATAACAATGCCTTTATGAGTGATCGGCACTTCCCGGTTATTTGGTAACTTTACATTTGTGTGTGTGACATGTTGATATGAAGAAAAACTAGACAAAGAACAAATAATATGATCCGGAGCACCAGTATCAAGAATCCAAACTAAGGTATCGGTAGTGTGAAAAGAATTACAATAAGCAAAATGAATACTTGTAAAATTTGGTACAGGAGAAGAACAACTATTAACAATGTTAATAGAAGGTGTGGGATCATTCAAGGAGACATTAGAAGGTTGATTAGGTAAAAAGGAAAACAAATGCATATATTGATCTTGAGTGAGGGTAAAACGGTTATGTTGAGAGTCACCACATCTATCGCTATTAGGCGGAGCGAGGATCTTGAGAACAATGAGAATCGGAATCAACGGAGGTGACTCGATTAACGAGTGACTAATCCTTGCTTACGATTTTTGAAACCAGGTGGAAATCCATGTTTACGGTAGCGACGGTCACCACATGACCTACTCCATTACAATGACTACAAACGAGTCTCTTTCCCTAAAGCCTTAAGCTCATACCAATATTGGAGCCGGTATGTGATGAGTTAGTATATGATCGATTACCGAATTATAACCATTAGGTTTTAAAGAATTAGAGTAGGAGGCTCTTTTATTGTAGAATAATGTCTGAAGTATGGTTAGAACCATTAGAAGCGAGAGGGAATTCCAAACTCGTCTTTCATGTTGAACAACAAGAGCAAATACACGATTGATAGAGGGTAGAGGATCCATCAACATGATTAACAATCTAACGACGACAAAAATGTCATTTAACCCTCTAAGAAATCGAATGACATAATCACTTCTTTGAAAATCTTTAACTTTGTTGAGGGCGGTACATGAACATTTAGGAGTACAATCACGAGCGGGTATAGCACATAAGTTTGTGAACTCTTCCCAAAGCGTCTTCAATCATCTATAGTAAGCACCGATAGAAAGAGTGCCTTGATTGAATGAGTGAATATCCTCATGAAGTTCGAGCAATAGGAAAATGATCACCATGGGAAAACCGTTCCTTAAGATCAAGCCATAGATCAATTGTTGTGTCAATCCATAAGACACTTTTAGTGATATTAGGAGATAAAGAGTGAAATAACCTTGAGAGGACCATGGTATTACAACGTTCCCAATGAAAGTAGATAGGATTAGTTTCGGTGGAATAGGGATGCTTCCATCAATAAATTTCAGTTTGTTTTTGGAGAGCAAGGCCATATGCATGGCACGAAACCAACTATGGTAATTTGAATATGTTAGAAGAGAAGAAACAAGGACCAAAGATGAATTTTCATTTGGGTGTATATAATATGGACTAGAAGGATGATCTTCCGATCTAGAACCAACACCAATGGTAACAACTTCCATGATTATAACAAATGAAGAAAAAGCTGAAGGAGAGATAGAAGTATGAAGAATGCTAGCTCAAACGTTTATGTTTGGCTACTCGGAAACTAAAGAGCAAAGCTCGGTAGAAAGAAAGTGCAAGCTCGATACCATAACGAAACATTTTGAGTGGAAAGAAAAATTCAAATTCATTCTCTCTCTTCCTCTAATTTATATACATGTAATGAAGGGCAAAATAGGAAAAAAAAACAAACAAATCAGTTATATAAGTTATAACAGACTTAGGGTATAAAGGTAAAAAAAACCACAAAACAAACTTAATAATAATAGGAAAAATGCAATACGCATGAGGAGAAGCGAAGAAGAAAGAAGAGCAGAAACAGGGCTAGTGATCTGGCACTTCAAGCCACGCTGGAGCATAGCTGGCACATAATATGTGTGATACCCTCAAAGTACGACCTGTTTTTTGCTCTCCATAATTCCCATAACAGACTGGAGCATATAGTAACTCTTGAAAATTGCTCTTGCGACAGAATTTTCTCGAAAGGAAACCAAAGCATTAAGAAGCTAGTTTATGTTATGGAACCTGGTGTTTACATCCAGTATAGCTCCAAACTCACTCCATAGTCTTCTGACGGACTCACCATGCAAGAAAAGGTGAATAAATAGTTCAATATTTTCTTATTTAATAGTTTGAATCTTCAATCTGATCTTATATTTTTAATTGTATTTATTATATTCTTAAGTAATGTTTAAGTCTTTAATTTATTTTTTTATCAATTTTTTTTATTATGAATAAAATTTTTAATCAAAATACTCCTAACTAAAATATCAAAAAAAAAAAAAATTTCTAAATATGCCAAAAATGGAACATGAAAATAATGTCATTTTAAGTTTTTTTTTCTTTGCATTTAATTTTGGGTTATTTCAATCAAAAAATTGTTCATGAAAAAAAAATTGATAAAAAAACAAATTAAAGATTTAAATATTATTTAAAAACATAATAGATATAATTAGAAACGTAAAAATAGATTGAAGATTTATGGTATTATATAAGGATAAATTGAATTATTTATCCATATCTATTATATATAAAGATTTACCTATTTGCTAGTTTGAAATCAAGAAACCAACTCCACTCTTTTTGGTTGCTTGAAATAAAAATAGCATCTTCCTCGTTATCTAACATGGAATTCCTCCAATTAAAATTAATTGTTTTATGAAGTCTTTCCAAAAACAGTTGAACATCTACTATTCAAAGATGTTATATAGTTAATCAAATTTGCATAGTTAATGTATTAAATTTTTTAAAAAAAATTAGTTAAATATAATATGCATCCTACAAGATGGAGACCCCAAAATCAAGAAAATTTTCAAAAAGAAGTCTTGAAAATCTAGATAAATGCTCTAAGAAGATCATCAAATTAATTAGGTGAATATGATTTTTAAAAAAATAAAGCCATTAAAAATTGACACATGTTACGCTCCTTCATATATCATGAAATTTTATTATGTACATTTTGGTCTTTAAAAATTTTCAAAAAATTTACTTTGGGTTTTATATTTTATTTTTCTTATAAACAAGTACTTAATTGAAGGTTTTTTTGTTATTTTATTTTTACAATAAATACAATTTAGTCCTTGAAAAGTTTTTTTTTTAAGAATTTTTTTTATTTGATTTTGATTTTGATTTCTCATATTATGATAAATTTATTATATTTGTTTTCTACAATATCATATAATTACATAATTTTTTTCTTATTTATTTTTTATCTCGATTTCTTAGGTTAATTAATTTGTTAAGCATGAAGCCTTCCAATCAAAAACTTCAATATTACAAAAAAAAAAAAAAAAAGTTGAAAATCTACTATTTAAAGGAGTTTATATGGATAATCAAATTGCTTAATAATGTCAAACAAATTACAAGAATTTAGTTAAATATATTTTGAATCCTACAATATGGCTACACCAAATCAAGAAAATTTTACATTTGCCATTTCTTTTCTAACCAATTTTAATTTCTTATTAGACCTTATATTTTCTTTGGAGCTAATACTGTTGTTTTTACTGACTTTAAAAAAAACAGTAGTAGCTTGATTATCTTTATATAATGTGATCAGTGTTCACTTTGTTCTTATATCTTAAAATAAACTACTTATGTCTTTGTATTTTTAGTGAGTTTTCAATATGTTTTTTCTGATAAATGTTTCCAATCAAACTATGGAAAAAAGTCACATGACTAATTTTTTTGAAAATATCCCTTAGCTGAATGTGTACAAATCATCTTTTTAGAGGTATATTGGTATAAAAAAAAATTAATCACATGCAAGTCACAAGACTTTTCCGATAGTTTAGCCCGAAAAAATTCACCAAAATGATATATTAGAAAATCACTTAAATTATAGGCACATAATTGATTCATTTTGGGATATGAATATCTTCAGTTAAATGTATATAAATCACTTTTTTGGGGGCACTTTTTGGCAAAAAAGTTTTTTTCGATGATTTGGCTAGAAAAATTAACAATTGAAAAGGACAAATTAAAAACTCACTTAAAATACAGAAACATAATTGATTAATTTGAAAATATAAAGAGAGATTTAGACATTAATTCTATTATATAAGGACAGATTCCTTAAATAATAAAAACATTTTTGTAAAAGCTTGAACAATACTCACACATGGCCATATAGGCACCAATCTCATGTTATTTATACTACTTTCAAAAGGCCTGAATATAACTTAGAGATTTAAATACTTTATCAATAAAGGTATTTTTTATCCAACTTCACGCATCAATTTGAATATGAAAGTAATCATTCATTTTTGCTGTCGAATAATAATATACATAATGTAGAAGACTTTAATTGAATTATGCAATAAAAAAGATGAAGAAGAAGAGGAAGAGGAAGAGGAATCATTGATCACAAAAGAATGACATTCTTTTACATGAATTTTGAACAAATTAGATAGCCTGAAGTATGATCCTTATATGCTACAATGAACCTTTGATTTGTTCATACAATTGCCACAGCAGAACGCCAATGACAGTATCTCTTGCAAAGCTCTTAACAAGACCAGTAACAAAGCCATTAGACCCATCACCACCTCCTGATGACCTTCTTCCGGCAAGGTCTCGAAACCGCAGGTTTCCCTGATCTGATACCAATGCATATATTACACCATTCATATGGCCTTTTCCTATCACCCCCACCACTCTTTTACTGCTGTTCACAGCTTTGCTTCGTTTTAGAGACCATGCAAGATACTAAACAAACACCAAAATGTCACTTGGTAAGAAGACTAATCATGATTGCCGCAATGGATATCAAGAAAAGAACTTTTCTTTCATATATACATGAAATTGCAGCCTAAAATCAGGGATTTTTTAGCTGTTTTGCGGGGTGAAAGATACTTACAGTGTCTCGTTCGTGTATAAGAGGCTGCAGGAGTGATGGATATGAAAAACCGAGCTGCTCGTAGAGCTGAAAGGTTCCATCATCTGTGCTTGATGCCTGAAATTGAGGATAGAAACAGGAAAGTGATACCATCCATAAGCATCTGTATGGAAGTAGTTACATTTTCGGAATGCGGCAAGGCTTGGATATCAGAAACAGAGGGAGGGAACTAATGTTAGCTGCTCTAAGAAAGGAAACAAAATCATGGGATTAGGAATGGTAGTGGCATCACTGGCATATTGCAGCAAATTCCTGACAGCCATTGTTCCAGGTTTCTGGTAATTTGCAGCAAGAACAGGCTAAACTAGTGGCAGAACCCAATTCAGGAAAATATTGTGGTAGATCATTTAGATTTCTATAGTTCATGTATCATCAAGAACACCATCTGAACAGGAATTTTAGCCAATATGGGGAAATACAGAAACAACACAAATCCAACTGATATTAGCAACAGAAAAAACCTCGAAATTGCTCTTAGATATATCAGATGATGAGGTAATTCCGCGAACAACTGCAGTCACTAAACTGATCTTCTCACTCCATTTCAGAGAATTCCAAGCCCTTTCAAGCTGCGAAAATAAACAACTTCTATGTCTATTTAACACATTTCAGAAAAACTGATATTCCACCAAATAAATTAAGATCACATGGATCAAGCTCACGGATTGAAATGTGCATACAGTTATTTCAATTGGCCTGTCCCCCAAGACTATTTGAGCACCAATTTCTTCAGCCACTTTTAGGGCAGCTCGGAACTGCAAATTTTAAGAAACTTCAAGATTTGAGATTCAACAGATTTCAGGTTCTGCAAGTTTGCACATGATTAATTATGTTCAACTACCTCATCTCCGAAAGGCCGGTTGACATCAGAAGAAATCTTTGATGAGAAAAGGGCTAAAAGTAGACGCAATGCTAAAGCTGTTTGACCTCCTGCAATGGACATAAACATTAAGTAATTTATCTTCACAGGCAAACAACATAAACCAAACTAGTTTCTTACCCAAGTTTATGCTACGGCCGACAGCCCCGAAAAATCCAGTTCCACTCAAAGAGAACACACTTGATCTTAGTTGTTGGTTGACCTCACCTTCATTGGAAGTGTACATAATTCCAGCTCTGCAAATGAAATCTGCAATAAGTAAAATTACAATATTGTTTGATGACAAATAAACGCATCAAAATTATCCACAGGTTCGAAATATTGCTATCAAAATATCTCAATACAAAATGAAAAAACTTGCCTGCTTCTACATAGCTCAACTACTATATTATCAGGGTTAACAGTCCTGACCACTCTCTCCACTTGAGCCGAAGATTGACTAGAAATATGATTAGTCCCAACCAACCATATTCCTTCTGGCTCAACAAACTCAGTCCTCCAAGCAGGTACAGGACCAAAAAGTTTCTTCTCAACCAAAACTAAGGTGCCTTCATTAGCCAAGTCAAGCAATTCAGGGTAGGTTCTTGCAATTGTGGCTCTAGATTCTTGCAAAATATCTGACCTGAAATCAAAGCCTGGTGGTGGAGGTTTGATTGAAACTTTCAAGGGTTTGGTGGGTTTTGTCATGAGGATATTTGGGTTGTTAGAGAAGATAGGGAATGGAAGTTTGAGCAGAGTTTCCATGGATCAGTGAGTGACAAAAGCTATGTGGGTTTAGTGTTTCAGTTCTTGCGTTCAGGGTTTAGATAAGGTAACTTAACTTTGCTTTTTTGTTTTTTTTTTTTTTTTCCCTTCTTTTGATAGGAGATAAGGTAACTAACTTTAACGGCTACTAAAGGTGGGAATTCCCCATGTAGAATCTACTATTTTCCTTTGCATGCATACATACATACATACATACATATATATATATATATATATATATATAAAGGAAAAGAGAGGGAGAGGAGATATACAAATACTCATCCCAATCTTTTCAAAAAAAAAAAAAAAACCTGATTTTATCGGATTTATTTGATGTATTATAGTTTTGTGTTTTTGATCCGTACTTAATCTATTTCTCAATTTACTCTCAATCTTGACAAATATTGTTTCTGTTTTCTATTTACATTAACAGAACAACTAAAAAAGAGAGACTAAATAAACGATGATTATTGTCGATGTATTGCATATGAGTGGCAATTTTTGATAATAGTGTTTATTTTATTTTATTTTTTTTTCTAAAATTCGTATGCAAATTTTATATTATATTTTATTTCGATCTAAGAAGGGAGAGAGAAACGAAGAGAAAACGTTACCGTTAAACCAAAATTGACTATTTTGATGTTAATCTTGCATTCAAATTATTTGTTTTTTACGAAAAAAATATAATCAAGGTCTTTTCAAACCATAAAATTATTAGAGAAAATATATCTGAACCCAAAAAATTTTTATTTTTCAATTTAGTTATTTTTTTAATCTACTTTGAAATAGCTTTTAAGATTGTAAACAAGCTTATTAACTTTGTTTTAATAGTTTTGAGGAAAAAATAAGTTTCAAAAGTCTGAAAAATAGAACCTTGAATTTCCAGCAATAACTCCAACAAACTACAGTTCGTCGAACGTTGCAAGTTGACAACGTGCGTTGTCCAATGCGAGCGACGGATCTTCCATGTGGTTTTGTTTTCTTTAAAGGCCCTGAGGCCTGCCAGGCGCACAGACTTCCTTAGCTTTTTTATTTTTTTTCCTTTTTTCCAGCAGTTTATGTTCACTGTTTTTCAATTATTGAATTAGGTGCGAAAATCATAAAAAACTAATCATTTTTTTTTGTTTTTTTATACAGATTGACAATTATAAACTATATAAGGTTTGTTTTTAGATGTTAGAATGAATATATATATATATATATATATATATATATATATATATATATATATTACTCTTATTGTTTAAAATTGATCTCTTCAATTTTTTGTTTTCTATAAAAATTCTCATCAATAAGTTTTTATTTTTCTTTTTATGTAATTTTATTTGCCAGTAAATATGATTTATTTTTCTCTATGTATGGATTTTTAAATAAAATTCACTTGTTTTATTTGCTTGTTTTTATATAATTAATTTTTTTTGAAATCAAATTTGTTTTTGTTTTTATTGCACTCTATTAACTTCAATATATTTCTTACAACTTAAATTTATTTTCAAAAAAATTAGCTTATGTTATACATTCTGACCCATTAAAGATGATCCTAGTGTATAAAAAATATTATGTTGTTACTAGTACACAAAAATAATATAATTAAATAATAAAAATTAACACAATAAATAAATAAATTTATTATAAATTAAAATAAATAAAGAACTGTAACTTTTTACCTTGATTTTTAAAGAATTCAAGATTAAAATCACGTTACCATATTTCACGGTATAAAAATGATCAAACCATCAAAATAGTTTTACCATAATTTTAGATGATTGGTTCAAGAAATAACAAGGTTGTTTTTTTGAGACGATACGCGTCATCCGTAGAATTTATCAAATGCAACGGATCAAGAATATATTACATATCATCTTAGGGATACAATAAATTCAACCACCTTACTATGTCTTAACAAGTTTACATTATTTGTAAGGCTTGAAACTCTAAATAATATAGTAACACTCTCACTCAAATATAATATATATAAAAAAAATGGTTTTTTAATAGGAGACAAAAGCAAACAAAATTGAAAGAGGTATTTTTTTTTCCTCTCAACAGAAAAAATGTTGATATTTTTTTTCTCTTCTTCTTTTTCTCTAAATATGATAAGAATTGTTGTCTATGAAATGACAAGAAAAAATATATATTTATAGGCTACCATGAGATATCATAAGATATCGGTTTGACAGAATAAATGTTGAAATAAATTTTAATATCAATGGCACACAAACATTCATGGAATCATTTTTCTTTGACATTACATTGGACAAATGACTGTTTTGAACATTCATTTACTCCTTCTAAGACTATTTCAAAAGTCATATTTTTTCAATTTTCTTCTTAAATAAATAATATAATAAATAGAGTTTTTAATATTTTATTAAAAAATATTCCAACATATTATTAGATCATTGTTTTATTGAAAATCAACCATGCATGTACACAACATCAATCATTTGCTATTGATTTTTTTTAATAAATATATATAAATCAAATGTATATATTTTTAAAAAGTTAAATTGTTTAAATTATTATAGATTTTTATTTAAGAACGAAAGCATAACAAAGAAAACATCATGTTTTTCTTAACTACAAAATTTATAAAAAAAACATAAAGAAGAATAAACAAAACACAAATTTTTGATTAAAAATTATAAAATTAGATGAAATTTTATTTTTTTACTTTTAATTTAATATATTTTTGTATAAAATAATATAATACATGCTACCAAAGTGAAATAAATATGTTTAGTTTAATATGTAGTTTAACGTAAAAAGTGCTGACTGGTATACATCCGTATTTCCCGACAAATAATAATTTATCTTATGTGTAAATATTGTTTGAAGTAATAAAAACTCATTCCAATTTTAAATTTGGTGAAGATCAGAAATCAATGTAGCCTAATATTGTAGAATTACAGCCTAATTCTATAAAACAATTTAGATCATTGTAGATTTTTGCTATCCATATAAGTAGGTAATGTATGATTATCGGAATAAAGGAGGTAAAAACTTGACTGTATCTGATCTGTTGCCATCTCTGTTCTAATATGGTAGACTTGCCCTGTAGTCTCATGCATAACAATTTGGACGATAGCAATCTTTGTGACCCAATTCAATAATCCAGGTGAAATTTAGGGTACTTTTTTTAAACCCCAATAAATATTTTTTTTCCCACGAATTCTATAAAATTTCTTGTGCAAATCAAGTGATGACGTTAACTGGAATTGCTCAAACAAGAAGTCAGCATAAGCTTAGGAGCTAATTTTCACAATAGTTCCTCAAGGTAATGATCCATCGTGAATAAGTCCAACCAGACATCCATTCTCTCCATATTAACTATTAACTAAAAATACTCAAACAAAACAAAAATAATTGTTTTATTTTTACTATTTATTTAAGGTTCATTAACAAAAAAAAAAAAAACATAGAATTACTGTGTAAGTGACTGTTCATACAGATACGATGTTACTATGGGTTAACTGTTCTTTTCTTCGTTTTTCTTGCCCCTTTCTTCTGCTATAAATATCATTTCTGCCATTTAGTGGGTTTGGGTTATTACTTTTTTCACTCTTCATCCTTCTCTTCCCTGTCGCTTCCTTTGTTCTCTTTCTTCCGCTATATATATATATAAAAAATCTCTAGCTTTATTAATCATCTATTGTCGGTAGGCCCTATTTTGGCTTGTAGTGGGTTTTTTTTAAGTCTTATTTTGTATTTTTTTTTATTATTGAAATTTTATTATATTTGATTTTTGTTTCGACAAGAATTTTTTTAAAACTTTTAGTGAAATTTTTTGTTGTGTTTTAGTCTTTATTTTATGATTTTTCTTTTATTTTAATCATTAAAGTTTTATCACGTTTGATTTTTGTTTTCATCTTTATACTAAATTTAAATACAGATTCACTATTCTAGGTTTTTTTTTTTAAATAGAAATTTTCTTTATAATTTGGTTCTTATTTTGTGATTTTTTTTATCATTAAAGCTTTATCATGTTTAATTTTTATTCGTGTCTTATTGTTCATAAGTCTTTTTTGACTTCTCGTGAAAGTGTTTTTTAATCTTTATTTTATGATATTTACTTTATTTTGATCATTTAAGTTTTGTCGTATGTAATTTTTGTTCATATCTTTTGTCAAATAGGATTTGAAATATTTTAATTTCTTTATAATTTAACAAAACTTTTTTGTCTTTTTGTTTTGAGTGATCTCTCTCTATTTCATTAACAAACTAGAGATGAAGAACATATGATGGAAATTAATCATTCAAAATTCAAAAAATTATCACCTCGTTATTTTAATTATCAATTATTATATATATTTCAAATAGAATGCCTGTTTATATCAAATAACTAATTAGTAATATTATATTGCTTAATTTTGTAAATTTTTTGTTTAGCTAGCCCTACCGCAATATACAAAATATATGTTTTAGTCCTTCCATTCCTTGAATTTTTTTTTCATGATCCTTTTAAATAATTATTTTTTAAATCTGTATCTTATATGGATGAATACATAAAAATGTTGTATAACTCACTCCAAGGCAATGCATAGGGTATATGCTAGTTATGTGTAAATTTTCTATACATTTATTGTATTTCGGGGCTAGGCACATGGGTCTCGGTCCTTGGTTTTTTTCTTTAATTTTATTTTTAATTTAAAAAATTAAGTAAAAATTATGAAACATCGAGTATTATTATTTGTATTTTTTACGCAATGTAGAGAGAATAAAATATATATACTATCCTTTTATATTTTAAAATTAAGATATGTTTCAAATTATATTATTTTTATTATTTAAAATTTATTTTTTGAATTTATAATTTCTTATAAAAATTCTTGTCAAATTAATATTTTTTATATTTATTTACTCATAAATATAATTTATTTTTCTCAAACTTTTCAAACAGAATTTGAGGAAGTGATACTTTGTCGATCCTTTAATATTAAAAATTAAATATAATTTCAAGCAGATTTAATTAAAATTTCATGGATTCAAAATGTTGTTGTTGGAGATTCTATTATGCTCAAACTCCAATTGGTTTCCCAAATTATCCGATTTTAATTCAGATAGATACGTTTGTCAACTCAATACTAAAAGTTTGATTTTTTTCCTTTTTTTGGGGGCCCAATTTGTTGGACCTGCCTAGGAAATCTGATTTGACAAAATAATGGGCTAGATGTGAATGCTGCCGTAGCCATTGACTGTTTGTTTGATATATCCAATCCGAAGCTTACTTCGTAAACTTCGAGATTAAGAAAGTAAAACATCAATCAGATCAAGCAGCTAAAGGAACATTGTCCTCGATCAAGAGTGAACGTAGCTTAGATAGTAATCTAATTCTTGTCGAAAAGATTGTGCCCTTTTTGGGTTATTTTATCTCCGTTTCTAATTCTTTTTATCTTGTTTAATTTAAAATAAAAATTTTCAACATCATTTGTCTTAATTTTCAAAAATCATATATTTTTTTATTTCTTTTCAAAATAATTAACATGATTTTTTTTTTGGTGATTTTCCATTAGCAATGATTTCTTACTGCAATCAACAACTTTTATATATGTATATATATATGAGTAAAAATATTAAAATAATAAAATAAAAATTTTTAAAAATAGAAAGATCAAATCACAAAAATTTTAAAAGACGTTGGATTTTAATTATTCATAATATTTTCATTCTCATTCTGAATCATGTTCACTGTTCTTTGATTTTTAATCCTTCTTAGTTATCTTTTTTATTCTATTTGTACGTATTTGTGTATGTAGTTCATTTGTGTTAATTTTTTTTTATAGTATGTATGATCTATTTATCTCTCTTATTTTCTTTTCTAATTTACGCCCTTTACTTTTACGTTTAATTGTTTCTATGGTACTTAGTATTGTTGTCAAGTTACGTTGTCTTTTTTTTTTTATTTGGTTTTCTTTCACACATTTTTTTCAAGTTACGCCCTTCAATTTTACGTTTAAATACACATTTTCTTCTTCTTCTTCTTCTTCTTCTTTTTGCTTGGTAATTACTTTATCACCTTTTTTTTTTAAAAAATTTTTCTAAACACTTCCATGCTCTTTTTAGTAACTTCCTAAATCTACTAAATAGAGCCATTTTCTTTCACTTTTTATCCCATTAAATGATCATGTCATTATGTTTTTTTCCTTCTTTTATTTTTTTTTCTTTCTTGCACCTCCACTCCCTTCTTGGTAACTTTCCAATTCCATTATAAAAAGCATTTAGATGCCTAATTTTGCTTTACAGATTTAAATTTAAATCTAAAAATTACCTATAAATTATTTAGTTATGCAATTTAAATTCCATACTATCAATTTAGGCTACTTGAAATCTAAAGTATTACATTTTGGGCAAATTTTATCCTTTATCTCGCCATCTCTATCTTCTCTATTATTTCTTATAGTCAATGTGTTGATTATTAAGTGAAATGTTTAAAACTACCTCATTTTAAGTATTTATTTTAGAATTAAAATTAATTTTAAAAAAATTATTATAATTAAAATTTTTAAAACTATATAGATCCATCACACATTAATTATCTAACAAAAGTAAGATCCATAAAAAAAAATATACAACCTTTTATTCTAATAATGTTGATAATTTTATGAATAAATATATCAAAATCAAATTTACTAACTTTCAAAAAATAATCTTCTCATCAACATTAAATAAGACTCAAAAATAATTTTTTCAATTGTTTATTTTTATACAAATTTTTGAGTCAATTGCTATTTTTTTTAACGATGCGGTTTATTAAAAAACTATTATAAATTTTTTTATTTCTTATTATTTTTTTTATAGATAATTACAAGTTTTTTAATTAAGAATTTATGAAGGAAAAAGAATAGATCTTTTTTTTTTTTACAAAAATTATGAAAAATATGAGAAAGAATTAGTTAAATGTAAAATTTTAATTAAAAAATTAAATAAATTAGATTAATTTTTTATTTAATATATTTTAACAGAATCAATATAGTGCAAATCATTAAATTTAAATAATTTTTTTAAAATTTTTTTACAAGTTTTTTGGGCCCGCAACAACATAGCACGGCAAAAAAAAAAAAACTATTACATCATTAACCTAGATATATCGTCTTTGTAATAAATAAACATCTTTTACAGGACTGGCTTCTCTTTCCATTTTGTGTTAAAATAAAAAATTAAAACAACAACAACAACAACAACAACAATCCAGTCTCTAACAATTAGAGACTGGTTTGTTGTTGTTGTTGTTTTTTTTTTTTTTTTTTTTTAACTAATGGTCATTTTGATAAGTACATAAAACTTTTGACCTCATCCTTCCAGGTGGGGTGCTATGTGTGGACCAGATCGCAGGAAGAGGCTGTGGGTTTTGGAACTTTCCTTTATCTTCTACAAACTGTCCTAACTTTTTTAGACAAAGTTGTGTAATTTTCTGTACCATGTTTTTTGTCCACAAAACCTCTTCAGCCCAACTTGTTCAGATTAGCAGACCGTAAGGTGGATTAAGCTGCAGTGAAGAAAGGCCTTAAGATGATGATTTCTTTACAATAATAGCTGGGAATGAAAAAAAGAGGCATTTTCTGATAGTTGATGGGTCACCAAATTAACTACTGTGAACAAATAGTCCTAAAAATGCTAGTTTGCTAAAACCCACCGCCACAGATTTTGTAAATAAAAAAATTGGGATTTGGGGGCACAATTTGGTCAACTACTTTTATGTATTTACATTAAGCAATAGAACAATACTCTTCTAAAAAATCGCCAAATGGGATGGAGCAATTTGTTTAAGCTTAATTAAATATTATACTCATTAAATCATTTAGAGGGCTACATATTTTGTTCTTTTTTCATATATATATATTTTGTTTTTTTTGGGAGGACTGGTAGATAGAATCTTTTACTTTGATACTCTTTGATTCTTGCTTTCGAGCAGGACTATTTCAAAGTCGGGGACCAAATATAATTGAAGGTCCTGTATACAAGCCAACCAATCATAGGGTAAAAACTTCAGGATTTTTTTTACTGTTTTATTTATTTTAATTGTATCCATCTATTAATTTTTTTAATAATCATATTCTTCTACTCTTAATTTGGATATTAATTTCATCTCTCTCGCCAAATTTTTTGATAATTACACCACTTTTCGACGACAAACTCATAGGATGTTGACACGTGATATTTTAAAAAAAAAATCAAAATATCCCACTTTTTTCTCTACATTTATGTATATAAATAATTAATTAATTTCATCCCTCAATTTTTATTTTTATTTTTTTACTTTCTCTCAAATTCAAATCAAAAAGAAATTTTTTTTTATGTATAGGAAAGAACTGAAGCAATTTTTTTTTATTTTTTAAAAAATTTATATCAAATCCAAACCAAGAAAAAAAAATTATGAAATTTTTTTATAACATAAGAACAAAATAAAAAAGCAGAGAAAAAAAGGAGCATTTTAGGATTGTTTTTAATTTTTTTTAAAGAATTTGAGAGAAAGTAAAAAAAAATTGACAGATGAAATTAATTATTTATTTCTATATATAAAGATAGAGAAAAAGAGAGATATTTTAGATTTTTTTTATTTTTTTCCTATTTTTTTTTAAATGCCATGTATCAATATTCTGTAAATATGACACTGAAAATTGATCTAGTTATTAAAAAAATTGATCGGAGAAACAAAATTAAAACGCAACTTAAAAATTAAATTAAGATAAATAAAAAATAGTTCTTTAATATGATGATCTCATGGATTTACCACAAGCAATTGGTATCAACATAAAGGACAAATTATGAGTGGAGAATCTAGGTCCTATTGGTTATAAATTACAATGAATATAAATTATTTTGTCCATGATTGGTACTACCTACCCAAGAAAAATAAATGAAAACATCGGGCTAGGCCTGGCCTTAGGCTGCAGGGACAGTGCTGGGGCATGGCAGAAGGGAGTGGTAAGCATGACCTATATTTATGACCAGACACCATATCACCAGTGACCATGAACAAGCCAATAAAAGTTCTCCAAAATTTCCAGAACTCGTCAAGGTCGATGAAGCCCAGGTAAGTCACAGCTAGCCAATTGGCTCCAGCCTACAAGGTTTTTGTGTGTGCCAAATACGTGTGCTCACAGTGACCTCACAAAGCCTTGCCATCAATCACATCAAACCATAATACTCATTTTCAGATATTACACAAAAAAGTGACAAGTCTTAGAAAGATCCGCGAATTGCCCACGCTTCGCACATTGGTTCACCGTTCCTTATAAAGTATGGCCTAGCCAAGTTTGCAAACAAAAATCTCTCACATTCTTCCTATGTGTCAAAAGCCCTCATGCCATTTTTCCATTTAGAGACATTCCTTTCATTTATATAATGGCCAATCCGAATTCAAACGTGCCTCGAGCTGACCAATTCCCACCATATCCATCTTCAACTTCAAGCCCATCTATACAAGTCCCTGACCCTTCTCCGTCTTCTAGCCTCCCTCAAGACGATCAATCCCCTCATTCCACATCCTCCAACCCATCTCCGAGACCAATTCCTTCTCCGGTTGGATCTTCGAGTCAGCCCTTTGCTTTAAGGCACGACGAACATTCACCGAGGTTTGTCCGATCGCACACTGGGCTTTCAAGCCAACCTGCGAGCAGAAGGCACGATGAGCAATCACCGAGGTCGGTTCGATCTCCTGAAGGGTCATCGGCTCAGCCTACTAGCGGAAGGCATTCCAGTTATAAAGGAATTCGGTTGCGGAGTGGGAAATGGGTATCGGAGATCCGGGAACCACGAAAAACTAAGCGTGTATGGCTTGGTACTTATCCGACTCCTGAAATGGCAGCCGCCGCTTACGATGTGGCGGCTCTGGCCCTTAAAGGCCCCGACACCGCACTGAATTTCCCGGAATCAATTCTCTCCTACCCAATACCAGCCTCAGCGTCCGCTAGTGATATCAGGGCTGCAGCTGCTAGTGCAGCATCGGCCAGGTCGCCAAGACCTGAAACTGAGCCAAATCCCGAAGTGGGCCGGCCTGAAACGGAAGGCACATCATCTAGCACCACCGCCGGTGTTCAATCAGGACAAGAATTTATCGACGAGGAAGAACTTTTAAACATGCCCCATTTGCTCGTTGACATGGCAGAAGGAATGCTAGTGAGCCCTCCAAGAATAAACACACCATCCTCTGATGATTCTCCTGGGAATTCCGATGCTGAAAGCCTATGGTCTTACCACTAAAACAAAGCCCTCCATGAAAAATTTCTGCTCCTTGGTTTTGGTCAAAGGAAGAGGTTAATTTAGGTCCCTGGATGGACCAAGTGTAGGGTTTTTGTTAAAGATTCTTCCTTTGGGTTATAGCTTTTTATTAAAGTGGTGTATAGTTCTATAACAGGTAGGTGAATTAATCTTGCCGCGACTTTGCTTAGCTGTATATTTAATTTTTTTCAGCTAAAGCCAGAGTAATCAACATGTTGTTGGTCAGCAACTTAATTTTCTGTTAAAATGTAGGATTAAAATTCTAAAATCTCATTTGCTTAAAAAAAAAAAAAACCCAAAAAAAAGAAGAAGCCAGAGTACGTCTCTCTTTAATACAAATGTTTTGTTTTGACAGAGACTTTTGAGAGAGACTTCCGTTGTGTGTTTCTTCCAAAAAATAAATTTAACTGTCCTTCGACATGATTTTTATGGTACGGCAAGCCTACCAAGCTCGCAAGTTTGGGGTACGTTTTCCCCCTTCTATGTCCTTTGCTTTGCATTTCATAGGTCTGCCTAAAAGCTCCCATGTTAGGTTCTAGCATTTCAAGGAAATAAATTGGCTACTGTTTTCACACATGTATATCATTTGGATTGCATTGAAACTATTTTTTTAAAGCACAAGAGGATTCTAAGCATTGATTAAGGGGTGAAAGCATATTGATGTGGTTTTAATCATCATTAACATCAATAATGAGCCAACGATATAGTAACTCGTTGACATCTACATCAATGATGAGATATTCATGGTTTTGGTGCTTTTTAAGAGGTTATAGATCTAAATCTCTATTTTTTAATGGTTTAATGACATGATTTATCTTTAAATTATTAGAATTGTGGCAAAATAAAACCTATATTATTAATTTCAATTATTTGAATTTTAAACTATTAATTTTTAGATAAATTTTATCTTTCTTCGTCATGTCCTAACGGTCAAAATATTGACCGTTAGCTGAATTAAGCATTTCATTTGAAAAAAAATTAAAATTAATTTTTAAAAAGCTTAGATGATTATGAATTTGATTTTTATTGTTAGATAGTTACTAATGTGTAATTAATCAATCTAGTGAAATAAAAAATTATTAAGTTTTTTTTTAATTCTAAAAAACAATGCATATAACGATTTTGTTTTAAGTATTTTAGTTAAAGGTCAATATTTTGATCGTCGGACATAACAATAAAATAAATATACCTAAAAATAAATAGTTTGAAATCTAAATAAATAATATAAACTTTATTTCATTACAACTCTAATAGTTTAAAGATAAATTATATTATCAAACCATTTTTTAATAACGGTAAGTAACATGGGAGAAGGAGATAGCAAATTCTGAGTTGCATTTATAGAATTTAATTAAGTCTCAATTTTTATTTTATTATGTCGCGGTTTTGCATATATATATATATATATATATATATATATCTTTTTAGTTTATAAGAAGATTCTCATGCCTCAAGCTATGTAACAAAGATAGTCACTTCCTATTATATAATAATTAAATAAACTAAAATTATTAAAATTATAATGCATCATTAAAAAAAATTATTAAATACGCGATCAATAAAACATGACTGCAATGATTGTATTGTAATAGTGATGGACAAAAGAAAGCATTTACATTAAATAAATGTCGTTATGTAACGGTTTTGTAACATTCGTTATCGTTATTTTAATATTATAATAAGTCGCGATCTACGATAACAATCATTTTTGTTATTTTAACCGTATGCAATTTAAAATTATGAACTTCTCATTAATCATCTTGCACTAGAGTGAAATTTTCATAAACTAATTGATCAAAGACTGTTATGCCTTTGGTAGCAATAGATCCCCGGTTCTCCAAGGTCCATGCTTTAATATCTAATTAATACCTTTGAATTTTGATTCAAAATTTCAGGATATTAAAAAAATTAAAATTTCAGTAATAAAAGAAATCAACAAAATACAAACAAGTATAATTTAGTAGTTGTGTAATTGATAATTCTTTTAAAAAATAGAATTTTAATGATTTTAATTTATTATATAATAGAGAAACTATTCTTATCAGATCGTTCAAGTTCTACAAACCTTCTTTATATATATATATAGAGAGAGAGATCAGGAAAGATGGTGCCTTCAAGCCAGCATGTTAAAGTTCATGTCATAGAGGTCCCACATTTAAGAAAGATACTCATATTGATCAATCAAGGAAGTATTCTGGCTTGACCAGTCAAGGTCTTTGACCTGAACGTTGGCAAATCATGACCAAAGTTTGTACTTGTGGAAAGTCCATATTGACCATTAGTGTGTTTAGTTGATTCATCTACACAAGTAGCTAAGCTACTTCTTTATCCTCAAATACTCCTCTCTATGTTTAATTGAATAAAATTTCATCCACAATAGTGTTTTTTTTTTTCCAATTCAACTTGAGATAAATTACAAGCATGGTGTCCCAACTTGGTAATTTTCTAAAATTTTAATCATAAAATTATCCAAAAATATAATAAAAATTGCATTTTTAATATATGAAGTGACTAGTGCTGCTTACGAGATTGAAGACAATCTCGAGTCGTAGAGAATTGAATTGCAACATATGGCAACGGTATAATATGAGTTGGATGGGGAGACCAAAACCAAACAACTACAAATTGAAAGTGCAAACCCAAAATATTTGTTGGACAGAATTAAAATGATAAAAATCGGGCTACCCCAAAAACAAAAGAATAACCTCGTGTAACTGAAATTAAGCAAGTCAACACCAAATTTGTTTTTCTTATTCATATATAAATATATATAGAGAGAGAGAGAGATTGATGCGGAGGTAGTCCACAATTTAATGCACTATGCATAACCAATATGATGCTCTTCATAGAGCTTGTGAGTGGATCTCCTAAAAGGTATGTGAAATATTATGTTAGATGTGTAGGTTCAAAAATTTTTTTTATTACAACTCTAGTTATTCAGACTATAAATATATACATTATCTCTTATATTTATAGTTGAATGAAAAATCTAATAAAAACTCATAGTCTATCCGTAGAATAAATACGTTATCGAACTATATAAATTTTGAGTCGTGTGATTGCTATTCTCTTTCTACTTTATTTTTTACTTGAATTGTTTCCTTTATTTATATATTGTTGGATGAAATATAAATATTTTAAAGGCATAAGAAAGTAAATATGAGACATTTGAAGGGATTGGTATGACGGTCAAATTATAGATAAAATGTTTTTGATGGATCAAAGAAATGAATTTAATCTTCATGCATGAAAGCTAGCCAGCCTGAAGATGTACTGGACCATAAAACCAATATATATATATATATATTGAAACAAGAGAGGGAGAAAAAAAAACGTGATGTCCTAGCTTTGTTATTTTGTCCCTATGTACCCAATGGCCAAAGGAAGATTATCTCTATAAATTTTTCCTCACATTTGAAATATGTATTCTTAAAAAACATTTTATTGAAATTCTGAATTTTTTTTTTTTTTACCTTTATTGAGAATTTTTATTTTTTGAGATTTTTTATTTTGGATTATATTATAATGCTATCAATTAATAATTTACATTTCACATCTACTTTTCGATAATATTTCTTACTTTACAATATTGTATGTAAATTTTTTATTGATAAAATTATAATAGAAAATTTGAATAAAAAATCTTAAAAGTTCTCAATTAAAAAAAAATTGAAAAGCAAAAAGCCCAAATACGACAAAACCATCCTATATAAAGAGTCAAACCTCAGGAAGAAGTTACGAGCCATGTAGATGATTTAGCAATTTTTCTCCCTCTATATATTTACTAATTATTAGGCACTTTTACATGGTCAATTTTGATCTCATTACTTCATAAGATGATTATAATAAATCAATCTTTTAACTTCTAAGTGCTATCACAAGTTCGAACTGGTTCCAACCACTGAAAGTGCATCCAGCTAAGGAAGAAAACTCAGCCTGTAAATTTGAAATTTAAACAAGTTGCCGTAAGTCGGCCATGAAAATGGTTCGTGAAGGTTGGATCTCTATGTCTGCTACTTTCACAATTGGAAAACAAACAAAAGTAGGTGACGAAACCAAGTGGGATTAGTCTTCTATATAATCAAGAATTTTGAATTATTTAGCAAGCTTATTACATTCCAGAAGAATTTTTTACTATATTCCGGGAATGACCGACGATTGGAATATTGAAGTAACTTTCTAATTAGCTAGCTGGGAGACTATATGACATTTAAAGTAATCATGTCATTGTATCCTAAATAACCTGTCATTATTTCACGTATGAATTTTTATTTTTTGAAATTTATAAATTATAAAATATTTTTAAATCAGTTTTTGTATTATTTAATTATCATTTTGGCATTTGATAAATTTTTTAAATTCACCAATAGTTCATGTCTCGTACTATAAAAAAAAAAAAAAAAAAAAAAAAACCTTTAATTGTGAAAATCGAAATTTTAACCTAATAAACCAGATACACGCTGAGCGGTTAGCGAATGAATTATATACAGCACTGTGATACCTACCAATCTAGGAATCATTGTACAGTATAACAGTAGGGTTTCAATTTTAAAATCATAAAGCACTGTGATACCTAGTCGTCTAAGAATCATAGGACAGTAGGTTTTAAATTTTGAAACTGGCGTCAAAGGTCGAATGATTCTGATCCTGCTTTGCTCACAGTTGTTTTCTGGTTTTCTGATTTTGAAACGGGCGTCAAAGGTTGAATGATTCTGGTCCTGCTTTGCTCACAGTTGTTTTCTGGTTTTCTGGTTTGATGTGAATGGGTTCAGTAGTCGACACATATGTTGTAGCTCGGTAAGCCACAAAAAGGCTGCATGAAAACGATACATAGGAGGTCCCAAGGCGAAAGATTTGAAGAGTGGACAAGCAAATATAAATGGGCTCCATTACTTTTTCTGCTTGTACTACCAGTTGAAATGTGAATTTCAGCTCCAATGAGAAGCAGTACGTCCATTGATTACTTGGTAAAATCATTAGGGTATTCTGTTTCCTCCCTTCTCTCCAATCCACACGGACACGCACATAGAGAGATGGCTGAAAAAAATTATTTGATTTCAATATTTTAATGGAGTTTTCCATTGTGTAATTTAGATCTAGGTAAAGGAAAAGCAATTGAATTAATGATGAAAAAATTTTATAATATTAAAAAAATAATTAGTATACATGTATAGTAAGTATTTCATGAATTTAATTTTAAGAACAGAAATAAACATTTAAAATAAAAAAGAATCACACCTAGACATATCAAAAATAATGAAAATATTTTTATGTTGGCTCAATTTTTTTTTAATTCTCTCTCTCTTGCTTCTCTGTTTTTTTTTTTATATATATATCTATCTTTTTTTATAGAGTAATTTACATTGTTTACTTATGGAGTGTTATAAAAAAAATTTTGTAATCATGCATGCTAGAATGTGTTTCTATATGACACAAAAAAAAAAAAATGAAAAAGAAAAAAGGAAGACAAAAATCAAAAGAAAACGTTGGTTGGAAAGTGAAATATTAAAGAATAATATAAACAATATTAATTTTATTTAAAATTTAAAATTTTTAAATTGAATATCAATTTATTATAATATTGTCGGCTGTTTTACACATTCAAATTTTATCATTTACATTATTTTTTTTAAAAAAATATTTAATCAGTTCTGTTTCGTCTAGATCTGCTTTGTTAGACAAAGCTAATAGTAAGATTTCCGCAAATCCAATGTCGTGTCAGAAGATGACTTTGGTGGAACTTTTCTAGATTTTTTTACCAACACATTGTTTGCAACCGTTATTTCGACAGTTTTTAATCAAACAAGTCCTTATTCTCATTACTAATAGAAGCACAATACCATGACCATGGCCAGAGTAAAGGTTATATATAGTCATTATATCATCAAAACATTCCAACATCATTAACCCAATCAACCTTTTTTCAGAGGCATTTTTGGCAAAAAAAAAAAAAAAAAATCATGTAAAAGTCACGTGATTTGGTCAAAAAAATTCGCTTGAAAGGCATATTGACAACTCACTTCAAATATAAAAATATAATTAATTTATTTTATAATATAAAAATAGATTAAATACTAATTTTATTATATAAAGATAAACGAAGTTATTACCTCTTATATTTAACAACAAATAGCACACATTGTGATAGGTAGATAGCTAGGAGTTATGATGAGCAACTTCTTCTAAAAAGTCATGTAAAAGTCACATGAATTGGTCAAAAAAATTCACTTGAAAGACATATTGAAAAGTCACTTAAAATATAAAAATATAATTAATTTATTTTATAATATAAAAGTAGATTAAATACTAATTTCATTATATAAAGATAAATGAAGTTATGACCTCTTATATTTAACAACAAATAGCACACATTGTGGTAGGTAGATAGCTAGGAGTTATGATGAGCAACTTCTTCTAAAAAGTCATGTAAAAGTCACATGAATTGGTTAGAAAAATTCACTTGAAAGACATATTGAAAACTCATTGAAAATATAAAAATATAATTAATTTATTTTATAATATAAAAAGTAGATTAAATACTAATTTTATTATATAAAGGTAAACGAAGTTATGACCTCTTATATTTAACAACAAATAGCACACATTATGGTAGGTAGATAGCTAGGAGTTATGATGAGCAACTTCTTCTAAAAAGTCATGTAAAAGTCACATGAATTGGTCAAAAAAATTCACTTGAAAGACGTATTGAAAACTCATTGAAAATATAAAAATATAATTAATTTATTTTATAATATAAAAAGTAGATTAAATACTAATTTTATTATATAAAGATAAACGAAGTTATGACCTCTTATATTTAACAACAAATAGCACACATTGTGGTAGGTAGATAGCTAGGAGTTATGATGAGCAACTTCTTCTAAAAAGTCATGTAAAAGTCACATGAATTGGTCAGAAAAATTCACTTGAAAGACATATTAAAAACTCATTGAAAATATAAAAATATAATTAATTTATTTTATAATATAAAAAATAGATTAAATACTAATTTCATTATATAAAGATAAACAAAGTTATTACCTCTTATATTTAATAACATATAGCACACATTGTGGTAGGTAGATAGCTGGAAGGAGTTATGATGAGCAACTTCTTCTTTTTCTTACCTTCAACACGAGAATCCCATTGTTTGTTCCTTTGTTAATTATTTCAAACATTGCGAGAAATATTTTTACTACTACTACTATTATTATTATCTACCTTTGATCAACAAAAAAACCAATTTTGTAATCGTGTAAAAGCTTCTTGCAAAACATCATCTCATTGTAGAATATTTTGTTGACAATACATAATATTTTGGCCTAAAAAGTAAAAAGATAAAAATAAAGATAAAAGTTCATGCCTCCATTTGTTGCTAAACAAATTATATGAATAAATTATAAACTAGTCCGTCTGATTAAAAAAGAAAAAAAAACAAATTCATTAGTTATTTTTTAAAAATAATTATTTAATTTTATAATTAGTATTGATTACGTTTAATTTACTATTACGTTATTTTAAAAATATTTTATTTTATCATTAATTTTTTTATAGTATCTATTTTTTATTTTTATATTTCAAAAAGGAAAAAACAAAACTAACTAACAAAGAACTCAAAATAAGCAAAAAAATAAAAATAAAAATTCAAACCTAGATAGTTTTTGAAACATAAGAGACTAACTAAAAGGAATAATTATAATTTGCTCCAAATTATATTGATATTCGTGCATGGTAAGCCCCACAATAACTTTTTGCCGATCTTTTTTCTTCTCCAAGAAAGAAAAGAGTTGGTGTTGCAGTAGCAATACTGTTGCAATCTTGTAAAGTAAAATGATTCTGATTTCGTTCCTTAAAAAGGAAGATGATTGCAAGAAAAGGAACGGTCCACAAAGAAATAGACTATAATTAGTAACAAATTATAGCCACCAACCCAAATCAATATCTCAATAAGATTCAGTCGCGAGGATTTAATTAATGTTGCGGCAATGGATAGGTTCAGTTCACCTGGTTTACTGTTCAAAAAGCGGCTAGAAAAAAAATAATTAAGGATTAAAAATTAAAGATCATCATTTGATTTTTTTGATTTAATTTTGATTTTTTTTTAATTTTTGATTAATCGAATTGATTAAAACAAAAGCAAAAGCAAAACCAAACCGAATTAAGATTCAGTTTTCGATTAAAAATTGATTTGAATGTTAACGAGTTGAAATTGAAGTTTTAGCAAATAAGATTATAGAAAAATGTTGTGAGTCTAAGTGTGTGTGTTAAAAAACATTAATTCGATTTTCAGTAAAAATCAATTTTTTTAAAAAAATCAAAATGAAATAATTTTAGTTTTGGTTTCGATTTTTTTCAATTTTTTTTTGTACAAAATCAAATAAAAATTGCTGATCTTGTTCGGTTTTTCGATTTTAACCGAACATCACTCACCCTTAATTAAAATAGAAAAAAAATTTTAATTAATAAGTAATATATTTTCAATTTTGTATTTTCTTTATGAGAAGTAAAATTCTTTTTTTTTTCAATTTTCAATTTAAAAGGAAACTGACCATTACTCATGGGTGACGTCAAGAAGAAAGAGCAGCTCACCACCTTTCCCTTGACTCAAATAGGCAACCTAAGTTAGTACATGGTCTGTGCGTATAGAGATTATTTGATTATTAAATTAAAAGGTTAATGTATTTATCTATAACAATATATTAACGTATTATATATATATACACACACACACTTATTTTGGACAAAGATAGACAATTGAAAGAAAACTTGGACCACATGCATGAACCTGGAACTTCTTACAAAGTCGATATTTAATATATATTTTTAATATTATCCGAAAAATATAGTTTCCATTTATATATAAATTGATTCAAAACGTATTTATTGCCAAAAAGGGGAAACAAGTACATGGGGGAAAAAATTCAAACCAATTCTTCTTACATACAGGACCCAATCAATAGGTCAGAACTTACAATCTGGTCCAATTTTTTGTGGTCCCATTTTGATTCTTTCCCACAGCCACTTGATGTTTGGATGCCAAGAAAATGTCGGGGCAAAAGAGAGAAGAAAACAGAACAGTGAAAAGGTTAAAGGTTCCTCTTCCCTGAACACGGAAAATCCGTACGTACGCAGTGATGTAACAGTTGGGAGGGACACAGTCAGTTTCCTCATTTACTTATGTTGTAAGACATAACGTCCAGCTCCAGATAACTTCCAACGAAAATAAATAATTCACGTGGCTGCTTTAATGGGGGCATTGGACCCCAAATCTTATGATTTGTGAGGTCAGAATCCAACAAGCTAATAACTTCACACTACTTTGCGTATCATTGATGTCATTTCTTTTCTTGTTCATTTAATCGACACACAATCGGACTTGATCCAGTGGATTATGCATCGGATAAAGTATCTTTATTTAAGGTTTAATGTTTCAAAAAATTATAAATTATATATATTTTAATAGTTTTAATTTATTTTTAAAAAATTACATAAAAAGATCATTAAATAAGTATGTGATAACAATACTAGTATTAATTTGATTTTTCGATCAAATTTCGATCGACATTGACATAACAGTCTACGTAAGTATAATATGTGAAGCATAACAAGCTACGTAGGATTCATGTAAGCATGACATGTGAATTTTAGCAAGCCAATTAAGATTCACGTAATTGATTTTATATAACACGTGAACTTTAGTAAGTCAATTAAAATCATCGTAATTGATTTTGCATGACACTGCTTACATGGCTTGCTATATTAAACGTATTATATTTACGTGGATCGTCATGTCGGCATTGATCGATATTTTCATCGAAAAATCAGATCGGTGCTAGTATTATTATCGAATATTTAGTTTATGAATTTTTTATATAAATTTTAAAAAACGAGCTATAATCATTAAAATACGTATAATTTATAATTTTCTCGAAACATTGAGTCTTTATTAAATAATCTAAGACTTATATAGACATTTGAATAAATCAAAATATTGGATAGTTCTAGACCTGATACTCGTTTTAACAAATAAAAAATATCACGTTCTTAATTGGATTGAAAGAGTTAATCTTAGAATACCATATATTTAATTTTTCTTAAGTTATGAATAACAAGATGTACCATGTTTGAAAATCTAAACTGTTAATTTAAAATTTTGTTAGGGAGGAAATTTGAACACATAATGACCCGGTGAAACGAAATCTCAACCATTAAAATTAAAATTTTTAATTTAATTTTTACCAACGTGATGCATTGTATTGCTTTTAATTAGAGAGAAATCAATTTATAAGTATAAGACCAACTAAAAAAATACACGTGTCATTTTAGTTTTATTAAATTTCCTAAAAAAATTAAAAATCAATTATGTATATTTTTAATATAATATGCAATTTCGTAAATATGATATGTGATTTAAAAAAAAAAAAAAAGTAAAATACAGTACTACAATTTTTCAAAACTCCTTTTGAAAATGTGCAAGAAGAGAGCAAGCTGGGTAAGGATAATGTATGTGGGGACCAGCTGGAGTGTTACGAGGAGTAGTGCAATAAACGCACGTGGTCCACGCGTTTCCGCGGGAAACCCACCGTCTTTCTGGCAGTTGGATTAACTGTCAAAAACTAACCGTGTTTTGGGTGCTGTGTGACGTCATTTTGAAAAGGCGTCTCTTGCTTGGATAAGGCATTAAGGCAATGCTCCATTTGCCACCTCATGACATTTTCCTTTTTCTTTGCCTTCTGTTATCCATTCCCTTCGTGTAGCTTCTAAGATACTTCCTGAAGGTCTCCGATTACTCGCCAAGAAAAACGATTTTTGAAGGCTTAATTACGTATTAAGATACTGATTAATCTTTCGATATTTTGTCTTATAAATATTACTTTGTTATTGTTTTTTTATATATATATTTATAGACAGATAAGTATTTTTAAATCAATGTTTATATCTATCAAAATTAAATCTATTACTATTTGAGATAAGTTAGCAGCCTATAATTGATTATAAAATCTAAATTTTTTTAAATCCACCAGTAATTTTTGTTTAGCATCACAGTTAATTTTTTTTTGCTAATCAATAGTTTCTTTTTAGTGCCACACAAATAAGTAAAAAAAAACTTTTCAACGATGAAAATAAAATTCTTAATTCAATAAGTCAGATTTTTTTTTTTTTTTTTTACATTTTACCGATAACCTTTAATGGTTATTCTTTTGTTAATTAATGAATATAAATCAAGTCAGGAACTCATTATTTAAATATTATATTATAGTTATCTTTTGGCTTAATCAAATCATTATTATATGTTGATAGATGATCATATATGTTATATTATTATTATTGTTTTTTTTTAATGAAAATATATAGTGATGTGATTATTATAAAAAGGAATTGATGGAGAATTATGCAATATATTATTTCTTTAACATGATGTTTTAATGAAAAGTAATACAAAAGGACAAAACCCATTATTTACATATTGTATTTTTATTCATTCATAAAAAAAAATGGTATCCAAGCATTTTTTTTATTAAATATTATTTTTTTTATTCATCAAAGGTCCAATAAATTTATTGAGTTACACAATCAGAATAACATTCTCATTTCATAATTATATAAAAAAAATTAGAGTCATCAGAATTTAAACCTTGCTTCACTAGGAAAGCTTGTTGAGTACATAATCGGTAGGCTAAGCCTATTTATGTTTTTTTTTGTCAAATATTTTAAATCAAAAAAACAAAAATGATTTAATTTTTTTTTTTTATTGTAATGTAAAAACTCATTAGTTAACGAACGACAATTAACTGAAAAAAGAAAACACTCTTGGCAAAAAACTAGGCGATTAACTGTCACTTCATAACTAAAAAAGGATGACCTTTGACTCTGACAGCTACAGGTTCATTCTCACGAGTGGAAAATTTGAATACTAAAACTCCCAATGCCAGTCAAACATCACAGAAGGTCAAATCACACGTGTCACTCCATAAATCCAACTTCTCCCCAAATCAGATACAGCTGGTGATCGCCAAGCCAAACTCCCCCTTGCTTAGATTCTTCCATAAATAAACAAATCAATCAATTTCCGAAAATGACCAAAACCTATGTGCCAACCGTGGTTACTGGTTACCTTAGCTGTCTTCTTATCACCATTCCGTGTGAGAGGCGCACTACCTTATTGCCTTGTTACCGTAACATATATAAGAGAACCTTCACCCTTTAGAACGACAAAGCCATCAGTTAAAGCATAACACTTCACACCAGTGTCTTTTCTTCGTAGAATTCAAGAGAAATCAAGAACCCTTTAAAGATTTACTGTAATGGATATTTTCAGTCACTATACTGATCCAAACCCAATTGGGTCAAGAAAATTTTGGTCAGTTTTTGATGAGCAGGAATATTCTTACTCTCCTGTTCTTTCAGATAGTAGCACTGCTAGTACTGCTACGACTGCAGTTCCACCGGCAAATTTTTCTGACGAGGAAGTAATGTTAGCTTCGAGGAATCCAAAGAAGAGGGCAGGAAGAAAGAAGTTTAGGGAAACAAGGCATCCGGTGTATAGAGGGGTGAGGAGGAGGAATTCAGGGAAGTGGGTTTGTGAAGTTAGAGAGCCTAATAAGAAATCAAGAATTTGGTTAGGGACTTTTCCGACTGCTGAAATGGCTGCTAGAGCACATGATGTTGCTGCTTTGTCATTGAGGGGTAGGTCTGCTTGCTTGAATTTTGCAGATTCTGCTTGGAGGTTGCCAGTTCCAGCTTCCAGTGAAGCCAAGGATATTCAGAAGGCTGCAGCGGAGGCGGCCGAGGCTTTCCGGTCAGAGGGGTGCATGGGAAGTGAGTTAACGAGGAGGGGAAATGAGGGGGAGAAGGCGACGGAGACGGCTGCAGGGGCGGATGAGCAGATGTTTTATATGGATGATGAGGCAGTTTTTGGAATGCCAGGGTTGTTGGCTAATATGGCAGAAGGGATGTTATTGCCACCACCAAGCTGTGGTGGTGCTGGTGGTGGAGACAGTTGGGATAACATGGAAAACATTGATGCTGATATGTCACTATGGAGTTTTTCTATTTAATTTTTAGTCAGTAATAGATTAATTAGGATGATAACTAAGGTAATCCGGACTTATATTTTTTACTGGTACGGATGCAATTATAAAATCTTACCGTAGTTTTGGTTTTCTGGGTTGGAATGGAATAGATTGTGTGGTAGAAATCTGCAGGAGTGTGTGAAAATTGAATTAGTAATAAGGTTTAGGGTTACTGTTAGTATATCTGTGAATGTAATTACAATAGCATAATCATTTACTAATTGCGAAGCCATACTGTATATTTGTAATAGTGTATACAACAAATTAAATACAATAGTTTTGCTTTAAGCCTCAGCCCCAATTTCCTGTTTGTTTGCAGCTTCAAAGTACACGTTTAAAAGTTTCAATTATTTCTCACACCAGTCTTACAACAGAGAAGCAAAGATTTTAGGCAAAAGGGTAAAAATCTGCAGGAGAGTGTGAAAATTATTTCTCACAACAGTCTTACAACAGAGAAGCAAACATTTTAGCCCAGAACTAGTTTTCCTAAGACTCTTATCCCTTTCCATTTCTGAGCCTTTGAATACTGTAAAGAAGTCAGGATCATTTTTTCTGGGAAGCAGGAAGCCCCAAACCTGTTCAGCAATGGCGCAATCCTGCAGCGCATGAAGAGAGTCTTCCTTGGTTGTTTCGTTGTATTTTTCCTGTTGAACCATGGAAAGCATTTTTTTGACCATTTGGTATATGACACAAAAAAGCCAGAGGAAGGAGAAGAAGAAACACACATCTCAGCATGTTTAGCAATGACGCAATAAACGTGATCACACCCCAGCTGCAGAGCCATCTTCAACCTCCTAAAAGAATTAATCTTGACAAGTGCAGCTACTTGTTCATTTCCACAGAACATTCATTTTCCGCTCAGAAATTAACTAAAAGAATTACACAGCTCAAGAAGATGGACCCTAAAACACTACCTTAACCTGCAAACAAAAACTAACAAACGGATAGCAAGAGGTTATTGATTTCATTTCAAGACATTGAACAAACACATTGGAGAGACACCAAATTGTTTGGTCTCCTGCTCTCCCCTCCATCAAAATCACCAAAACAAGATCGTCTTCTTCCAAAAAACTGGAACTTCAACACCCAAAACTCTACTGGTTGTTGACTCACTATACGTTTGTAATTTTCCAGAGAGCTCTGACATAGCAGACCTTGTACAGATGTTCAACCCTTTTGACTCTGGTTGAGGTATATAATTGCAGCAACTACACGATATATGGAAAGATGGAATTCTGTCAAGTTTGGTGGATACTGGGTATGTTTTTGCTGAAATTAAAAAGATTGAAACAGATTCACCTGATGGTTTTAGTAGAATAGAATATTAGAAAGGGAAACAAAATTCATCTCTTAGAAAGCCGTGGGATTGCATTCAAGTTTTGATTCCCTTTTTTAATCAGCATTTCTCTATCTGCTTAATATAGTGCCTGAAATTCCTTTACTATTTTGAAGAATGCGGGTGGTAGAAATTGGTTATTCTTATTATCAGTTTCTGCTTTTCTTTCTCCTCTAAATAAGGAGTATGAAATCAAACTAAAAAATCTGGGTCTTTCATTTACAGATTCACCTTCTCCTTCTAAAATTCAAATTCCAAGCAGTAATAGCTCTCTCTTTCAAAAGGGTATGAAATCAGAATCAGAGAAGAAAATGGATATGAAATCAAAACCAAAAATTGGATCTTCTAATTCATCAAATTTATTCATGGATTCACATTCTCCTTTAAAATTCAAATCCTATGCTGTAGTAGCTCTCTCCCTTTCAAAATCAAAATCTGATAAGAAAATGGGTATGAAATCGAAATCAAAATCAAAATCAAAATCTGAGTCTTTCAATTTGAGACAAATCAAATAAAAAAGAAAAACAAGAAGAACGGTGAAATGGGTATGAATCAGAGAAGAAAATGGATATGAAATCAAAACCAAAAATTGGATCTTCTAATTCATTAAATTTATTCATGGATTCACATTCTCCTCTTAAAATTCAAATCCTAAGCTAGCTGCAGTAGCTCTCTCTCTTTCAAAATCAAAATCTGATAAGAAAACGGGTATGAAATCGAAATCGAAATCAAAATCCGAGTCTTTCAATTTGAGACAAATCAAATTAAAAAAAAAAAAAACAAGAAGAACGGTGAAAATCCAATACATGATAAGCCTTATATCCCTTAATCTCTCCTACAACCATTTATTTGCCAGGATCCATTCCGTCGGCCAATTCCTGGCGTTCAATGACAGCTCATTTTTTGGAAATCCAAATCTTCAGTGCAGGAAAAAATGATACTTGCTCCTTTGGTGGTCATGGCCATAGGGAGTCATTTAGCACTTCAAAGCCAATAATCACTTTCAAGGCAGAGGGTATGGTTACTTGCTCCTTGAGTGCTTCAAAGAAGAAAACATTAAAGGCGAAGTTGGTTACTGGGATTGTCTACCGTGGGTCAATGCCACAGTGCTTGAAAAAGAAAACGACGATATGGTTCCTGGAGATTTTGATTCAGCGGGGAGAAAGAAAAATTTAGTGTTTTTGCAATAGATTTTTTTTCTTGCAAATATATATATATATATATTGGTTTTATCCATATGTCATGTTAAATCTTATCTTACACGTGGATTTTTTAATGTTAGGTTTTAGTTTTAATTAATTTTTTTGTTGGCGCTACACGACAGAGTTGAATAAAATATATAAAATCGTTAAGAAAAATATATGAAATCAAAGATGAAAATAATTATTTATAATTTTTAATAAAAGTTTTGTGTTTGGCTATTTCTTATTTGTGTTTTTTGTGTTTTTTCATAATTTTTTCTTTTAAAAAAAAAATTTATCCTTATTAATCCATGAATTATTAACTAAAAAAATTAAATAATTTTTTTTTAAAAAGCTTTAGTATTTCATAAGATTGTGTCAAAATACATAAATAAAAACTATTAAAAGCTTACATAGAATTGAACAAATATTTTTTATTTAATATTGATGAGAATATCGATTTTTGAAAAAATATAAATATAAATTTTTATATTTATTTACAAAAAAATGAATAATATTAAAATAAAAAAATATATTAATTTGAATCATTGAGTTTTTAAGTCAAAATATTATTTTAATTATTTAATTCAAAAATAAATAAATAATAAATGCTTAGTGTAAGAAGATAATATTATTATAATATGATCATAATATTAATAACATATGAACATATTAAAAAAATGATAAATTAAAATAGCAAATTTTAAATAATAAAAATAATTAAAAGAAAACACTAAATAAAATTAGACTAAATCATAATATAATTAAAGTTTGAAATTGAAAAAAATAAGTATAAAAAAATTGAGGACCGAGTGCTAAAAAAAAGACTTGAATGGTGAAAGGAATAGTAATTTGTGAGTATGCGAATAATATTTTAAATAGTGAAAATGAATAGTAAAACCATGTTTTACTTTATTTTTTTAATAATTAAAAAAATTGATGAGAAATAATCAAAAGGACAACATCTAGAGTCATTTCATTATTCATTTGGATTCAGATGAATTATCTTTTTTACTAAGTAGTGACATTTTTATAATTTTTAAATATTTTAAAGACATTTATTATGAAAGTTTTGATAACATTACAATTTGACACTTTTTTTTAAATATTATTTTTTTAATTCGTAAAATTTTTTTATTTGATTTTGAAATTAAACTAAAATCATTCGATCATTACCTTATTTGAAATATTATTCATCCGGACTCATTTCACCATTCATCAAGATTTAGATGCACTATTTATTTCGCTATGCACATTTTAAAGATATTTATTATGAAAATTTTCGTAACTTTACACTTTAGTTTATCTTTTGTAAATATTATTTTTGTAGTCCGTAAATATTCTTTATTTGATTTTGATCCCACTTTTTTTGTTTCATGTTTGTCACTTTGGTCCTTGTTTTTTTCGCTGATTTTTTAATTAAAATTTTTAAGGCAAAAAGATGTTTAAAAAAAAATTTACAAAATAAGGTTTTAGCTAAAAATATGGATAGAGATAAATAAATAATTTTTTAATAAAATTAGTCAAATACAAAATTTTAATTAAAAATTGGTAAAATTAAATGAATTTTTATTTAGTTTTGATTTGATATATTTTGGTAGAGACACAATATAACACGAGACTTCAAAATGAAATAATTTTTTTAAAATAATTTTATGTATAAAAAAACTAGTGACAGCTACAAATTTATTGAAAAATTTTATTTTATTCCATAGATAATTATCAATACTTATAACTCATAGTTTTAAATTATGGACAGTTGAAAAAATGATCGCGATCATTATTACGGATTGCGGCTTATTATAATTCTAAAATAATGATAACGTAATAATTCAAAATTGTTAAATAACGAATGTTATATAATGCAACGACCGTTATTTAAAACTATATATATGAGATAGAAATTAAAAAAAAAACATTGTTGATGAATTTGAATGTAATTTTCCTTTTTTCTATTTTTTCTAAAAAAAAAATGACTATTATAAAATACTTTATGAGTATTTTAAAATTTATTCAGATTCTTTTTCTTGAGCAAAAAATTAAAATACAAAACTCCCAATATCAGTCAAACACGTCAAAAGGATGAGTCACACGTGTCACTCCAGAAACCCCACTTGTCTACAAATTAGAAACAGCTGGTATTCCAACTTAGCCCTGCTTTCTTAGATTCTTCCATAAATAAATAAATCAATTAATTTCTACAAAAGACGCAATTCTATGTGCAAAGCGTGGTGACTGATGACTGGTTACCTTAGCTGTCCTCTAATCCATTCCGTGTGAAATGCACAGTGCATTTCCATAACATATATAAGACAGCCTTAACCCTTGGAAAAAAAGAAAGTCATCATCAGTTATAGCATAACACTTCACTAGTGTCTTTCCTACTTCGTAGCATTCGATATTCAAGAGAAATCAAGAATCCTTTAAAGATCTACTGTAATGGATGTTTTCACTCATTATTCTGATTCAAACCCGATTGGGTCAAGAAGTTTTTGGTCAGTTTTTGATGAGAAAGAGTATTCTTACTATCCTGTTCTTTCAGATAGTAGCATTGCTAGCACTGTTACTACTGCAGTTCCACCGGCAAGTTTTTCTGACGAGGAAGTTATGTTAGCTTCGAGGAATCCAAAGAAGAGGGCAGGAAGAAAGAAGTTTAGGGAAACAAGGCATCCGGTGTATAGAGGAGTGAGGAGGAGGAATTCAGGGAAGTGGGTTTGTGAAGTTAGAGAGCCTAATAAGAAATCAAGAATTTGGTTAGGGACTTTCCCAACTGCTGAAATGGCTGCTAGAGCACATGATGTTGCTGCTTTGTCATTGAGGGGTAGGTCTGCTTGCTTGAATTTTGCAGATTCTGCTTGGAGGTTGCCAGTTCCAGCTTCCAGTGAAACCAAGGATATCCAGAAGGCTGCAGCTGAGGCAGCCGAGGCTTTCCGGCCGGAGGAGTGTGTCGGACGTGAGTTAATGAGGAGGGGAAATGACAGGGAGATGGTGGCGGAGACGGCTGCAGGGGCGGCGGAGGAGATGTTTTATATCGATGATGAGGAAATTTTTGGAATGCCAGGGTTGCTGGCTAATATGGCAGAAGGGATGTTACTGCCACCACCTAATTGTGGTGCTGGTGGAGATAGTTGGGATAACTTGGAAACTATTGATGCTGATATGTCATTATGGAGTTTTTCTATTTAATTTTTAGTTAGTAATAAAGTTATTAGGCTGCTAATTAAGGGCATCCGGACTTAAATATTTTTTTTACTGGTGCGGATGCAATTATAAATCATTGCTGTAGTTTTGGTTTTCTGGGTTGGAATGGAATAGATTGTTTGGTAGAAATCTGAAGGAGTGTGTGAAAATTGAATTAAGTAATAGGGTTTAGGGTTACTGTTAATGTATCTGTGAATGTAATTACAATTGCATAATCATGTATTAATGGCGAAGCCAAAATGTATTGTGTTAACAGTTGATAAAACAAATTAAATGCGAGAGTTTTGCTTTTAAGCCTCAGCCTCAATTTTCTTTTTGTTTGCAGCTTCAAAGTACATGTTTAAATGCTTCCATTATTTCTCAAGTTCTACACAAAATCCTCCTATACACAATTCATGCACCACTTGAGTCTCTTGTTAGACCTCCGGCTCCTGCCAGATGCAGATTGCCCTTTGAAGCATCATTGGTATTAAGCGCCCCATCAGCCACATTAAACAATCCCCCACAAAGAAGTCAGGATCATTTTGTGTGGAAGGAGGAAGCTCCAAACCAGTTCAGCAATGGCGCACTCCAGCAGATCATGAAGAGAGTCTTCCCTAGTTGTTTCGTTTTATTTTTCCTGTTGAACCATGGAAAGCAGTTTTTTGACCATTTGGTATATAACACAAATGCAGCTTCTTGTTCACGCTAGGATGATACAGTCTACGGAAGAACCATATCTCAACCAAATTCAAGCAAAACTAGACATCATTGGGTTATATTTTCATTCCACAGAACATTCATTTTCCGCTCAGGAATTTAACTCAAGCGAAAGGAATTTGAAACTCTACCTTAACCTGCAAACAAAAACTAACAAATAGCTAGCAAGAGGATATTGATTTCATTTCAAAACAATCAACAAACACACTGGAGCGGCGCCAAATTATTTGGTCTCAATTATTGTCAAATTCAATAATTAGACAACATAAGTACTGGGCTCCCATATTCTTTTGAGACGTTAAACAAACACATAGCAGACACTAATTTAGTTGGTGCTAAACCTATGATTTCACTTCTCGAATGATTCCCTCGTCAGAATCTAGTAAAACTGGATCATTGACACTTCTTTGATGCTCTTGATGCTGCTCCTGCTGTTGGTCAGCGTTCATCATCTGCTCCATGTCTTTTAGCCTGGTCCTCACCACACTCGTAACCAAAACTGCAACACCCAGCGAAATAATAATAAATAAATAAATCCATATATCGGAGGAGAGAAAATTAAAGGAAACGGGTTTTTCTCGGTGATCTTACTGCCGGCGGTGCCAATGGTCCATAGCCAGAGGATCTTCAAGCCTGGACTCGTCTCTCTCGGCATTTTCGAAGAAGAATGCCTGCCTTTTCTTTTCCTTTTTACTGACTTCTGAAGAATGATATGCTATCGGCCCATGGGCTGGTTAGTGTAATTGGATGGGCTTGATATGGACCAATTAGTTTAATTACTGAAATTAGAGTGAACAAACTTAAGACAATAAACAGCAAAATCATGTTTTTTAAATTCTAAATTTATAGTCAAATTACTCGAGGAGCATACTACTTTTTTAAATTTACGTAGACACCATATTTTCTGAATTTTAATTTATTTAAAAATTATTCCCTTAACTTTCCATTAGGATTTGATTTTTTTTCCAATTATATGTAGAGTTTCATCAATAAGTTAATGGATTTTGCTTATGAAAAGCATGTAATTGTTATAAAATATAGTATTTGTTAAATGAAAAAGGGAAATAGCAAAAATACATAGAATAAATGAAATAAAAAAAATATAATTTGTAACGGTCGTGTGCAATAATTCATTATCTCATTGATAAGAACTAAAAAATATTTGATTTTAAACAAAAATATTGTATAGAGAGGTCAAATTCAAAATCGAAAGCTGAATAATTAATTTTTAAATTAGGTAAAATTTAGAAGAGGTATCATCCATTTAGTCTTGAAAGCCTTAAAACTTATGTCTTAGGATAAGTTTGTAGTTTGACTCTAAACCCTAATGGTGATTAAATTGAATCTTCTTATATATATATATATATAACTCACACACTCAATATTTCTAACAGAACTAGTCTATTAAGATTTAAATCCGTGATATATTATAGGATATCATTATCACCGAACTATTAATTCTTTGGTATTAAATTGACTCTTCTTTTCAATTAATCATATGTTCACAAGGAAACAAAAACCTCCTCAGTTTTAATATTTTTATAATTTGATCGAAAACTTTGATTGAAATTGTAAGAAAAAGTGTTTTGAGGATTTAACCATGTTTCTACAAAGATAGAATTGTGAGGGATCAAAATGTACAATTTGCTTTACTCTAGTGGATCTTGGAACTTTGACTTTAGAGTATCAGGCATCCCAAATCTGAGCATGATCTGCCATTGGAACATTTGTCCATCTGATTTGGATGCAGCCTTGGACCTTTGGCCATTAAACTTTCATATGTATACACACACACACACCATGCAATAGCTTTAGGGCTAACCTGAATTGCACATAATAGTTATGCCACATCTTTCGATGGAATTTATGGGAAAGAGTTTAAATGAATTTGTACAGGATAAAAGGATAAAAATGCTGTTGCACCTAAACTTGAAGGATCAAACTGTACTTCTAACCTCCAAGTTCCTACTTGTGGCAACATCACTTCTGTTATGCATTGAACAAGCAAAAACACCATGAAACCCACCATATATATAAATAGAAACCACAATTTACACAAAAATTTGGTTGCCTCAGTTTCTTCAGACAAAAAAGAAGAAGAAAAGTACAGCGATCTAAAAATGGAATCTTGTTACAGAATCTATACCACATTTCGAAATAATCTGACGATGACCAATTGAAATACAAGTGAAAAGACCAGCCAGTGCTAAGCAACTGGGAAAAAAAGGTATACACAAGGAAGTGCATTTTAGTAATTCAACAGATAGGTATGCAATGTGCTTGGTACGGTCCATCATCCACTTACTGCAGGCATTGGAGAGAGAGTTTCTACTTAGCTTTCTTGAGAAGACTTGATGTCCTGAACTCAGCATCATCCTTCACAAAGCTCCACCAAAGATATGTAAGTGGGATGGTCGCGGCATGCCAGAGAGCATGAGCATCCACAAATCCCTGGTAGGGCGGGAAGTCGTATATTTCCAAGAGCATGGCAAGGGCTCCTCCAACAACCGCCACCCACAACTTAAACCGAGATGGGTGGTGAGAGACACCAGCCCAAACTGCCCAAATGAGAAGCTGTGCTACACCCATGGCTACACAGACTTTCATGTTTAAACCTGCAAAATAATTAACCCATTCAAAACCACTTCAAATAGGCAAAGCATATGCCACCAAGTTAGACAACAATTGTTTCATCATTTTATCTTGATCAACTTTTTAACCATCAAATACTTCATCATATCATTATTCCTGGTACATCTTTTTTATGGGGAAGGGGGCTATGTGGTTCCGTGGTCAAGCAAGAAGTAGCAAAGTTGCAATGGAAGTCCCTTGTCAGCAAATAAATGGCCTATGGAGGAAAATATGTCGCTTTCTAAAGCATGGGGGAAGGGAGGTGTAGGCATTTCGTGGAAAGTTCAGCTTGTCCAGGAACAAAGCAGTTCCTAGGTCCAGCACCACCAAGTGGCACAGTTGCAATAGTCAAATTTCAGGAAATGAAAGCCCCATAGAAGAAAAGTCAAATATGTCATTTTCAGAAGCATGAATGGATTCACATGATAGGTTTCATTAGCTCAGTCAGGAATACACGGTTAAAAGAGACTCCTACTTTCGTCTAAATGCTGATATACTAAAAATAGTGATACTAAATAGCATGAAATTTGGCTTAATAGGATGCTAAGATGAATGATGGCATGACACTAAAGGTTAGACATGCATGTAAACGCATGGAAGAAAACTGCAATGGAGATGAAGGTTAAGTGTGGTTCAGCAGAATCAGTGCAAGAAGCAACAAAGTCAAAATTCAATACAACATAAGTACAACAAAAACACGATCCAAGATGGGAAAAGATACAGCACAAGAGATGGTCCAGGACAGAACAGCAAAGAAAATGTCACAGGACAGCTCTAAATGGACTGAGACAGAGCTTCTTTAAATCAAACAAACACGTTGGTCTGACAATATCTTCCCACTGCAATCTATAGAGGAAATAGTTTGAAGAGCAAAAATGCCCAGTAGCTCCAGCATTAGTTTTAAACAAAGGTCTATTATTGTGCCTTGTAAAGCAGGAACATTAGAAGACAAAGAATTACCATAATCAAGGCTGTAGAAGTTCAGATATAAGATATGTGTAGTAACAAATGCAATCACTGGAGCGGAAATCATGACCCTGGAAGCCTCATCTCTCACGTTGAAAGCTCGCAGTATTGCTAGGATAAGGGAAAACCCTAGTAATGCCACAGCAGATGAAAGATCTAGTTTCTCTGTCAACTCGACGTCTCTGCGATGAATTAAATTAGAAAAACCACTTGCCAGACAGGGAGATGAAAAAGAAAACATAATAAAATATTTTAAAAAGAAAGGAATGTGTATAAATGGCGTTGTCCCATTACAGCTAAAACCAATGTTTACTGCCACAAATTAGCAGTTTCAACATCTTTTCTCTCAATGTACTCTTTACGGCAATATCTTCTACTTCCTAAGAACCCATAGGGCATATAAAATCTAAACTTTGCGGCTGAAGATCTATCATCCAACTTTTCAAATTAAGCACATATTCAAATGGTTAATAGGCAGGTTAGTTTGTCATGATTTCGAGAAGACAGCTTTAGGCCCTTTACAAATTGCTTACCGACTGTGGAAAACAGCACTCCAGAACCCAGAGTTCATCGATAGGATTCCATAGATGTTCCACAAGCCAGTATATTCATAGTAAGTCTTCTTAGTTGGTGTCAGCGGCAACTTGTAGTATATTAGGATGAAAAAGGATACCCAACCATGAAACTGAATGGCGAGATTGAGTGCAGAGAGGGCAACAGAAACAGGTTCCTGGGACCAAAAAAATATCAATTTAAGATAGATGGATCAATTATTCATCTAGCTTAATGTTGAACTAGAAAATTACACATAGAAACCTGAAAACCGTAAGCACGGTGAAATGGCCATTTCCCATGATACTTGACAGGCTTGCCACCAAGTTTCTCCCTTTCTTCCTCTCTGGCAAGCATGCAGTGGTATCGACAGTCACTACGACAGTCCCATTGTTTCCACTGCAGGTAGAGTGGCTCTTGTAGATACCACGGGCCACCCTCTGGCTTCCCATCAGATGAGAATTTACAGTGTTGGAAGCATTTTTCCCCTACACATCCAGTTTTCTCGCACTGCTCCCCACAAGCCCTGGTAAATGCGTAACAGGCACAGAATAACAACTATCGTTAATCCCAATCCTAACAAAACCAAACTGAAACAAAATAGAAACCAGCACAAATATGCATAAGCATACCACGGAGGGGAGTGTGGGGCGCTGCATGTTAAAATTTTATGAATAGTATACATGTAAATGAACAGTGATTATGGACAATACGATGATGAACGGTACCCACTGCAGCCCCAAGGATCTTGTTCACCTTCCGCCAATGCAAATACGCAACATCTCCTAAATATAGATGCCTTCAAATTTGTTAATCCTCCAACCAAAACTCTAAGACATCCTAATTTTCTTCCCTCATCACTCCCCAAACATCGCCTGAGAACAGTCATTTTAAAACCCATGAGAGAAGCTTCAAGTTATAAACTCCAGCCACCCCAATTTACATCCTAGTTATTAAAGACCTTTCCAATAACTAATTCATCAGAAGTAAGGCTTCTCATAAACATAAAACTATGAGACACCAAACCATTTTAAAAACTAAATTTCTAAAATCCCCCCCCCCCCCCAAAAAAAAAAAAAAACACCATCATCTTTTCCGATCTCAATCCAAAAATTGCCCAAAATATTGAATTTCAACGCCTAATTCATCGTTTCAGTACAAGAAAACCGACATTTTCCACCTCTAAAATTCAAATTCACAGTCAAAACTGAACAAAAACAGCTACTAATTACTAAATTCAGAATCAATGAAACAGCAATTAAATTCTAATTAACCATAGAATTACTTAATTAAGCTCAAATTGAAATGCAACTGAATCAAAAGACAGAAACTTTTACTTGTAAATCGGATCACCATCACCATCACTCGCATAAACACGCGTTGAGAAGACTAGAAGCGAGACAAAAGCCAGAATCCAATGAAACGACCAACGAGCCATCGGATTCGTTGACAGGACAATAAAAGTCAACAGAAAAGGAAAACAGGAAGAGACTGTTTCAGATTTCTACAAAATCAACCGTTGCTGCTTGTGACTGAGGTTGGAGTGGTGAAGGTTTGATTGATGCTGATGGAGATGGTGATAAGAGTTCCATGAGAGCGAGGGAGGACTGAGTCGAGGTGTGATTATGAGTGAGTTGAGGAGCGAGTATTGGGTTCTGGATTAAATAGAGAGAGAGAGAGAGAGAGAGAGGAATCTCGTGAGGAGCTGGGCTTTTGGGCTATTTATGAGGAGACACGTGGATTTGTACTTTAGTTAAAAAATTTACTTAATTAACCTTGCATTTTTAGGTTAATTACGAGATTGTCTTGATACAGTTGAGATACGGTGTCGTGCGTGCATGATTGCTGTTGGTAACTGACCGTTGGAGATGCTCATCGATTGAATAATTGGGATTTTCTTCCTAACAAATTGGAAAAAGAAAAGAAAAATTCTTAGTGAATAAGAACCAAAAGTAATTATGAATGTATCTTAGGTAAATATTGTAGTATTCTTTGTATCGGATTAACATCAAGAAAAAATTATTAACTTTTTTAAATACATTAAACTAATTAAAAAACATATTTTTAAAATATTAAAAAATATATATTTTTAAAATCGTATAAAAAGATATTTAGTTCATAATAGACTTACAAACTAGAATGAAAAAGCTAAATTAATTTTGTATCTTGGCTTTGATCAAAGATGATACAAACAAAATGCAATTCTTAATGATTTCTTTCTACCTAATACATGATATTATTTCTATCTATTCTTTTAATTTTGAAAAGTAATTAATTAGTCTCTTTTATTTTAAAAATTAAGATTTTTTTTGATCAATGTTGATTGCATTTAATTTAATATTATTTTATTTTAAAAATATTTTTTTCTTAAATCTTTCCATACTATCTATTTTTTCTTTTTTCTATTTTTTAAAACAAATAATAATAATAATAATAATAATAAATTAAAAAATATCATAAAATGGACAAAAATGGCTAAATTTTTAGTTTTTAAAATATGAAGGACTAATTAATTCTTTTTTCAATACTAGAGGGACATATTTATAATTTACTCATGTTTTAGTCAATAAAAATATTCTGTTTTATCCTTCATTATATTGTTTATAATTAGGGTTGCGTTAGGTAATGTATTTGAAAGCATTTTATAAGTTATATTTCAAAATCATTTAAAAACAATTTTAAAAAATCATCCAATGATGACTCTCAATCTAAAATGACATGTATCATCTTAACGAAGACATATTATTATTATTATTATTTTGAATTATAAATGAGTAATTTAAGCTTCTCGTATATGTAGAAAATAATAAACATTGTGCAATACGTAGATCACTCAAGAAATTGTCATACATTAGACTGAAAAAATTCCTAATTCTCGAAATTATTGGTCTTTGCACAATGCATATGTTATAATTCTTCGTATTATAATGTTAGTTGTGGGAAACACAAATTATATAGGCAATCCACTATGCAATTTGGCACGTGTAATAAGCAAATTACCAATGAATATTTTATTTTGAGTAATTATTCAATATATTTATGAATATTATTACTCTCAAATTCAAATAAAATCCACATTAAATGAATTTCTTCTTCTTACCCAAATTCATTGACTGGAAAATTCATTATCTTCACATCTTATCTAATATTTTATCTCAATTCTCATAGCTTCTTATTCTACAAATATTATTTCCACATCAAAAAATGAAAAGCTATGGTAAGAAATCTGAAGAAAATCATAAATTAGTTTTTCTAATTTCATGAAATGAATTAATTAGTTTTTATGTCTTTCAATTTTTTTTATAAAATTAAATTTCTTGCTATGTTTTAATTTATTTTGATTTTTTATATTAAGAAATAAAAAAAATTAATGATAAAAAATAATATTTTATAAAATAAAATAATATTAAATTAAGTATGATATCAATGCATTAAATAATTAAGTTTTAAAATATAAAAAATTAACCAATTTGTTTCTAAAAAATCCAGAGATTAATTTATAATTTATTAAAAAGATCTCTAGTATTTATATTTTGCTATAAAAAAAAAATCTATAATTTCTCATTATTTGATTCTGCTTCTATTCCGTCTCCTCTCACTCTCCTCTCTTGCTCTTACACATCACCAAAATCCATGGCCTCTGTCATCCTCCAAACAATCCCCACTCGCTTCCTCACGCCATCTCTCCACGCGCCATCCAATCCCAAACTCCCTCCCCGCTCCCTCCCTCGTCTCCGCCAATTCCGTCCTTTGCCGCCATTAATAAAACGTCACCGGACTGCAACAACAATCACTTCTGCTTACGTGACCGGACCAGCATCCGACCCGATAGTGACCGAACCGGACCACAAACTCGACCCGACCGATGAGGAGTCCTCTTCAACCGACGAAGTTCAGGCACCGGCGTTGATAAGTTTGGATCTTTTATGGAGTCTGTTGGCTAAGCATAAAGGACGACTCGTCGTTTCTGTTTTAACTCTAGTCGGTTGCACCTCTTGTACTCTCTCCATGCCTATATTTTCAGGTGCGCATTGAAAAACACCATTCAGTTCTTTGCTCTACGTTTTCCTCAAGACAGGCTATCTATATCGGGACTAGAAAATGTCCTTAGAAGGTTTCGCGCTGAGCATCTCTCTTTAACCATCAGACCAATCGCTCGAGTTGGAAAACTTGTATTTTTTTTGAAGCATCTTGTGTATATTTTGACAGTGTCTACAGTTATTCTAAGAAAATTCAAGCAGTTAGAAGGACATAGAACACTGTAAAATAGTAAGAAAATTAGAAAATTATTCACTCATTCCCGTTTCTAGAGAAGAGGTCTTGAGTTCGAACGTCTTTTTTGGAGCATTTTATTTACCATGAAGGTTGAAATATAAAATTAAGTTGAATTTTTATTTTGGTTGCAGGGCGATTTTTTGAAGTGTTGATTGGTGCGAGACCGGAGCCGCTATGGAGATTGCTTAGCAAGATTGGAGTGTTATATGCGTTGGAACCAATTTTTACTGTGATCTTTATTGTAAATATGAATACAGTATGGGAGAAGGTTATGGCAACACTGAGAGCTCAGATTTTTAGAAGGGTTTTGATTCAGAAGGTAAATGAACTTGTCAATTTCGGTGATTGGTTTTTTTAACTTGTTCGATGTTGAGTTATACGGTCTTTTTCATGCGATTTTGTTGTTTTTTGTTGCAATGCAGGTGGAGTTTTTTGATAGATACAAGGTTTGTTACTGATGCTTGAGAAGTTTTATTAGTGTGTGTTAGTGACTTGGGTGTGGTTAAGGACTATATGACTATATGTTGTGTTGTTTCGTGTTCCTTGCAGGTTGGCGAACTTAGTTCTTTGTTAACGTCTGATTTGGGTTCAGTTAAAGATATTGTAAGCGAGAACATTTCAAGGGATCGTGGATTTAGGGCACTTTCTGAGGCAAGCCATTCTATACTAAAACAAAAGTGAGCTTTATGTAGCTACTTATATTTGATTTGGATCAAATTGACATACTTTTAAAGTAGCATATATTTGTGCAATAGTTTGTGTTGGTTTGGTGCAATATTGTTTCAATTGATACTGAAATTTTCTGAGAAAAATCTCTTGTCTGTTGTGACCTTTATAAGATTTCCATTCATGATCAACTGTTACTCCCCGTGGATGTTTTACCTCTTCTGTATGTTTTTGTTGCCTCAACAGGTCACAGGGACCATATGCATACTGTTTGCTCTGGCCCCCCAACTAGCACCGATTCTGGGGGCGTTGATGCTTGCTGTGTCTATTTCTGTTGGTAAATATTTTCTTCCAAAGTGATCAAGATTTCTATGGTGTTTCTTATCCATGCTTTAAGTTTACACCATCTAGTCTTTGTGACACAAAACGGAAATTGAAGTATAGTATTAGCTTCGATGAATTTCCCATTTTTTAACTTTACTATTATTCAAAATCTTCTATCCATAATGTTGCCTTTTCTGGACTATAATGAGTTCATCATTAGTAATCTATTGGCAGTGATTTGCTGGCATTTATATTTGATGACACTTATCTTCACTTATCTTGTCTTACACATGCTTTGCTTTCTCCATTACAATTTCCTATGGCAATCATTATATTTCTTTCTTGCTTCTGTTGTGTTGCTTGCTGCTAAATGGTATTTAAATTCTCAAGCTATATACAAGCGATCAACTGTACCTGTTTTCAAAGCTCATGGAAAGGCCCAGGCATCCATATCTGATTGTGTGACAGAAACCTTTTCTGCTATCCGCACTGTAAGTTGTTGGCAATGCTTCATTACGTAGTTCTTTTGACAGTCCTAGCTTGTATTAGTTGTAGACCCATCAGTTTGTCCTGTTGGGGGTGACGGGTGTGGTAAAGAGTAGGATGTACTTATGCCCGATACTGAAATTAGCAAATTTACTATCACAGGTGAGATCCTTTGGTGGTGAAAAACGCCAAATGCTAAGCTTTGGCAGCCAGGTAAGCTGTAGACTGCTTCTGTATGAAATTGGAGATTTCTAGATTGCTTCTTCCATTATTCACGCAAAAATGTTGGTAGGTTCTTGCTTATCAAAGAAGTGGTATAAAGCTCGGGACTTTCAAATCCGTGAATGAATCATTAACAAGAGTTGCTGTATATATTTCATTGCTGACTTTATACTGTCTTGGAGGAAGCAAAGTGAAGGCTGTAAGCTTCTAGTCTTTGACCATTTTCTCTAGCCTTTTAAAAATGCATATGTGATCCAGATTCTCTATTTATATCCACTGATTTTGACACAGTACTTGTAATATTAGTTTAAATTTTGTCAAATTTTTGAGAAATTGATACACAATGTTGGTTTCAAAATTGTAAGTATTGAAGAATCAGCCGTTGATGAGGGAAAAAAAAGGAAAAGAAAATGAACGAAAACAAAAGAAGAGCTCATACAGTGCTCCACTTCATGGATTTTATACAATTGGTGCACTTCTTAATGCATATTGCCTGCTTCATAACCATATGTTGGGTAGATTTGATCTGTTGAATATATTTTACCTTTAGTTTTTATGTATCGTCCACTGCTGTGAAAGCAAGACGTTGCTTGATTTGATAACTTGACATGAGATGATTGAACTAGAAAGGGCTGAGCTTTGCTCTAACTTCAATTCATTTTCCAATCAAATTGCTCCCAAAGCCAAATGGCAAGATAATGAACTATAAGAACAAGCAGGCAAGCTAATTTGTACAACTTTCACATTCCTTCTACCTCCATTATCCCTCCGATTTCATTCATAGCAAACCTAAAGTAAGTTGCGATTTTGTTTTGCTTTTCAATTTGTTGCTTGCAGGGTTTACTCTCTGTTGGAACTGTTGCTTCTTTCATCGGATACACTTTCACATTAACTTTTGCTGTGAGTTCTATTTCACTCCTCCAGTATGTTATGGTTTTCCTCTCCTTGACATAGTCTCTGATGTAATAAATACCTCAGGTTCAAGGGTTGGTCAATACATTTGGAGATCTTCGTGTAGCACTTGCTGCCATTGAGAGGATTAATTCTGTTTTATCTGGAGTAGAAATTGATGAAGCCCTTGCCTATGGTTTAGAAAGACAAATCCAGCAAAAAGATGCACATGATGAGAAAATTAGTTTGTTCTTAGTCAATGGTTACAGTGGACAGAATCAAAATTTTAATACACATTACATGTCAGCCCTGAAATCAGTGAGCAACGTGTGTAGCTTTGCTGGGTCTGGTGATGTTTGTCTTGAAGGTAGCTTTATTCCATTTCTCATTTAATTTCCTTCACGTGATTTGATAAAAAAATTTCACACACATTTTCCACCCTCCAACTTTAATTATTAAATTATATCGTTACAGGCCCATGTCCTCTTATTACTGTATGTGAACAGCCTATCTCTTATGGAACTAAATATACTGTGTGTCCCAAATTAACTATGGAAGTTCAAATAGAAATTTGAGAGAACTTTGTGCTTTTTTACATGTTTAATTTAGAGGTTGAAAGTAGAACGTAGATAACAAAGAATAAACCTTACTTGTCAATCATTTCTACTCGAATTCATGTTTTTTTTTCCTTCCAATTTTCTAACTGATAATTTGTTATGCAGATGTGCACTTCTCTTACCCTTTACGACCTGACGTGGAAATCTTGAATGGTCTTAATTTGACTCTAAAATGTGGAACTGTGACCGCTCTAGTGGGCCCAAGTGGTTCCGGGAAAAGTACCATAGTACAACTATTGGCACGCTTTTATGAGGTTTGGTTTATTTTCAAAATGTTAATTTCTAACATTAATTTGCACTTTTTTTTTTTTAATCATTATAGAATGCTGGGAAATGATACGGATGCCTTGTTCTTGCAGCCAACCAAAGGTCGGATAACAGTTTCAGGAGAGGATGTCCGGAGCTTTGAAAAGACTGAATGGGCTCTGGTTGTCTCCATAGTGAATCAAGTAAACTTTTGAATCTCCATACAAATGTAATAAGGACTCAATGCATTAAATTCATGACATTTATGGAATCATTCCCTGCATTCTCAGCATGGAGACGAAATGCTTCCTGCTGAATATGATCTATGAGTGTCTGTTGTTGCTGAGATGCAATTTGATTTAATTCTAACAAAGAGGTCAAATAACCTAGAAACTGAACTTACCTTGGATTGTCAGTAGCAGGGTTTGTTTGACAAGCTTTTAAGCGTGAAATAGGAAGTCAAGGTTGCCAACTATATCTGCAGTTAACCACCTCATTGAGTAACCAATTATGTGCAATAACACCATGATTCGAAGAATAAAAAGAGCTTTTTAACTAGAGAGGAAAAGGCTAAGGAGGAAGTAGACATGGTTATTTGCTTCTCGACTTTTTCTATGCATGTACATTTGTATCCTGTGTATCTGTTAATGAATACACAATTGCAGCATCCCACAAATAGTAATGATCAGAACTGAAGTAATATTGATAGTAAAGAATGGTGGGGGGCTGTGTATGTTTATAGTTAGTTGTTTGCTTGTGGCTTGAACTGTTCTGTTTGGGCCAAACTTGGAGTTGGGTCTGGAAATATTTCTTCAGATCTTATGTCAAGCCAACTTATTAGACCTGTTGTGCATGTTATGAAGGAATTGCTTCAATTACTTGGTTTGAACTGTCTCGTTTTTCTCAAAGCTAATAATATAATGTAAACAGGAACCTGTTCTTTTCTCGGTATCTGTTGGAGAGAATATTGCATATGGGCTTCCAGATGATGATGTATCGAAGGACGATATCATAAAGGCTGCCAAAGCTGCAAATGCTCATGAATTTATAATTTCACTTCCACAGGTTTGGTGTCTTGTAAATATGGTACAGCTCCACCTTTGCTTGTTTTAACCTTAATTTCTGAACCTTTATTTGGATTTGAAAGGGTTATGGCACACAAGTGGGTGAGCGTGGAGGCTTACTGAGTGGAGGACAGAGGCAGGTACGTCAATGAACTCTTAAGAGAGGGAGGAAGAAATAAGCGATTAATTATTATTTTCTGATCTACAGTATTCAGTGTAAGAGAAATAATATAAAATGTTATCCTCTGATTTTTGCTCTCAGAGAATTGCTATTGCAAGAGCTCTGCTCAAGAATGCACCAATCTTGATACTTGACGAGGTAAGCTCTTTGTTTCCTTCTCTATGCATATCTGCGTACTCTTCAAGCTTGTGTTGGACATGCTTTGACTCACGACCTTGAAAGTTGTCATATTGTTTCACTGTTTGCTCTGTTGTGAGATCAGATGTTAGATTTTAAAAATTTCTTGTTTCAAGCCTAGATAACACATCTTGTACTTTTTGTTCAGGCCACTAGCGCATTGGATGCGGTTAGTGAACGTCTGGTTCAGGATGCTCTGGACCACCTAATGAAGGGCAGGACAACATTGGTGATTGCTCATAGGTTAAGCACGGTTCAGAATGCCCATCAGATTGCGCTTTGTTCTGGTGGGAGGGTTGCAGAACTAGGGACCCACTTTGAGTTGCTAGATAAGAAGGGTCAATATGCTTCATTAGTTGGCACTCAAAGACTGGCATTTGAGTGACAGAAACTGCTAGATATTACCATTAGTTGAATAGAAAACACCAGACAAACAACTAAGTAAGTTTCTTGTGAAATTTCATTCTTGGTTCTTGCAGCAGCAATATCTTGGGATTTTGAGTTTCTTCATTTTCTACAGAGGCACTAATAATTCCATTTTGAGAGGAAGTGATGGCTGGAAGTGGGAAAAGGAGATTTACTGCCTTGAAAGTTGAAAACAAGCAAAAGCTTCTATTGATTTTAGTCATTTTGTTTTTTTGTCATATCTATACATCATATGTCACTTATCGGGTGCAAAGAATTAAAATTCATTTAGAGATACCATATATTTGCTCAGCTGTAAACAATAGCAATCATCGCGGCCACTATTCTTATCACAAGTTACTGCTTCCCAGCCTATTATTTGTTTTACTTGAATTTTTGTGCTCTGTTTGCATTAATTCATTTCTATTCAATATATCACATTTGGAACATACAGTAGAGTCTACTCCGGTTGATACTATTCTGTATTTTTCAGTATAAAAAGATGAACAGCTCATGTTACAGGATCGAGGATTGGATTCCTGACATCATCAAGAACTAGAAAAGGAAATTACAGCACTAAGTTTGGCCAGGCATTCTGTGGGAAGACCAAGGAAGGTGTTCATGAAGACATCATTGATAGGATCAACAGTTGCCACGCCAACAAGTCTGCATTTCCCTTCTTCATCCAATCTTTCACCTCGACCACTTCGTATTGTTCCTGTTGATTCCTCTGATGTCAGAACTGTCTTTACAAGCAGTGAAGGAGCTCTATAGATAGTCCCAACAGAGAACAAGAACCTGGCCATGAATTCAAGATCAACCTGCAAAAACATTGGAGAGCAAAAGTTCTTGTTAATGGTTAGATTTTTATAATCGAAGTAACAGACTGACTGCTTGATGGGTGTTCTTAGGGTTTACCTTGCCAGAATCTTGGTCAATGGTCCCCTGAAAGAGTTCAGGGACTATGTCGATCTTCAAGAATGGTGGCAACGGCAATCCCAAGAACGTAGTAGTCCCACTTGTTAATGGTGGAATATACAGAGTTTTCAGGTCAAATGATACTGAAATTGTATTCAAGTCACCGTCTTTGGTCTTGGTACCAGTCCCAGTTCCTGTCCCACCGTGAGCATTGTATTCGAAGTCTGGATATCTTGAGATTCCAAGCTTGCAACCTCCCAGAGTTTTGAAATTAACAGTGTAAACATCAGGTTTGGGCAGAGTGGTGGAGGAGATTGAATCTGGTTGGTTTGGACTGTAAGAAGAGAAAGCAATGGCTCTGATTCTTTGAGTTGGTTTCGTAGTGGAGAACTTGAGTAGAATTGGAGGGTTTGAGGTGTTTATTTTGCAACCCATTTGGAGGAAAGTGTGTTTTAGATTTCTGTGAACTGAAGAGGAGGACGAGCTAGAGGCTAGGAATTATGTTTTGGCACCTGAACTGAGAGTGGTAAAGCAGTACAGGTGGAGTAAGCAAAAGCACACGAAAGTTCATGGTTTCAGAAAATCATATCAAAATATGAGGTTGGTTTTGCGTTTCAAGTTTGGACCTTATCTTCTCTTACCAAGTTTGAGCTTTGGCCTATGGTAAGGACTGGGCAAGAAGAAGATGTGCTTTGCTGTTTTCAAAAGGTGCTGTCCCGAACGGTAAAACTACTTTGTCCAACTGGGTGATAGAGTTTTTTTAATTCATCGAAGCTTCAATACACGTATTGAGCTGCATAATGAAAATAATCCTTCTTATTATATGATTGTTAAAGAAATTGGAGTCAACGATATCCTGAGCTTTGACTTTGACGAAGATGCGGTGAATTTTATTTTATTTTTTTTCCAAATTTATATGATTACTGTAGGAGTAATGCACCGTTTCCGTAGTTTGAAATTGAGTTATCCTATTTATGAAAGAAAAAAAAAGAGGAAAAAAAGAGAGGTAGTTCTCAAAATCTGTTTTATAATTTTTAGTTGTCACTCCTCCCATTTAAAAATTCAGTTTTTGGTATTTTGATCTAAAGTTTTGACTCATTGAAAAAATTCCAATCCATTTTTCAGAAAAAAAAATCCAAAATTTTTCAAGATTGGGAATTATATTTTTTAAAAAATTAAAAATGTTAAAAAATAATGATAAAAAATCCAGAATGATCTCAAATTTTTTGAAAAGATTAATCTCACTAAATGAGTTTCATCATAAAGTTATTTATGTAGTTGTTATTCTTTTTAATAAATGACAAAAAACTGAAGGATAAATTAATTCTAAAAAAAAAAAATTCAGAGATGTCAAAATACAAATTAAAAGTTTAAATACTGATTTTTTCAGAGGAGGTTTGGCTTTTTTTTTGCCATCAAACTATTATGGTAATTTTATTTATTTATTTTTTTTTGCCTTTATAGATTCATCAATATTCCACTTGTATCCTTAAAGTTTAAGAATTTTCAATGTTACTGTTAAATTCTAACCATTAAATAACCTAATTTTTTTAATTTTGTTAGTTTTTTTTTAATATATATTATAACATAAATTGGGATTTGAGAGGAAAAAATTGGCTAGAAATGTAAGAGAAATAGAATTATGTAAAAAAAAAATCAGTTTTTTTGTTTTTGTTTTTGGTATTGAAGGACAAAAACCAAAACTTTTTAAGAACTATAATAATGGTAAAGATTTTTCACCCCCAAAATATTCCCTATCCTCAAGTTTGCTAATCAGGGTGACGTGGATTTTACATATGACTGATGTCACCTAGGACATAATGACAGGAGAAGAATGCAAGAAATCCACATTTCCAAAATTTGCAAGATGGTAAGGTGGCCATTTGGTTTCTTGGCGCTTAGCTATTGGTTGAACTTGAACAGCTGAAGTCATGAGTGGAAACTAGAAACTTTGTCACTTGCAAAAGTACCCTATCCGTATGTCCTAAGCTCATACATAAATTGGGTCCGGTCCTGAAGAGTGAAAATCTAGAGGACAGACATCAAACTTGAAATGTTGTCTCTGTGTCTCTTAAAAGGGAGGCAGCAGAACATTGATCTATGATTATGCTTACTGTGCTGAAAAACATGCTTCTTCACTCCACTGGACATGTAGTCTTTAGGACATAGCCCAGGACAGGTGGCATCAGGAGGCCTTTGTTGCTTGCTTTCCAGCTTTGGAAGTGGTCCTTGTCAGGTTAGTGGAGAGTTGCAATGTTCTGTTGCCACCAGGACAGAAGAAAAGGAAAAGGAGGACCTTTTTTAAACTTGACAATTATACAAAGATGTCTGGTCTGTTCCCTGTTGAACCTCGCCGCTAGCTGTTTTCCACACAACTTGGAGTTAAGACAAAGCTAAGAATCTGGCACCTGCTAATGAATGGTTACATAGAAAATGAGGGCATATGCTATTTCTAATTGATTCATTTTGATTGATCTGATCATATGGGACTTCGTAGTAGAAGGAAAATTAAAGTTGATGAGACCCAATGAAGAACCAAAACCAGAAGCTGAGGAAAAGAGGACCGGTAAGTTGATCAAAGACATTATATTATTGTATGGTTTCCAGATGCTTACATTCAAGAGAGAACACTCGGACGATATAATATGAAACCTGGAAAACTTCATACTATGAAAATCACAGCTTCTATACACATGGCAAAGCCAATCATCACTCAGAGTATGTTAATCTCACTATTTGATAGTGAACAAACTGAAGATTAACTCATCAGAAACATCAATCATCACTCACTCATGTGAAAGCTAGCCTAAAACCGGCTCTAAGCACACAGGGACTCAGCAACCACAATATGATACAAAGATTTTACAGAGACATTAGCTATTAGACTTATCATGTGAGCACAAACACTTTCTGCACCTCAATTCCAAATCATTTAGTTGAATCTGGCTGTCAGCTGATCCTCTCTTTCAACAGACAAGTGAGGACCTTAGAGATGGAGCAGTTTCAAGATGGGTGCAGGATGCCCAGCGGATGACTGATTCAGTCACCGTGAGATCAAGTTGTTCACGTTCACCGAGCCCAATAGTACGGTTCCTCTTACTGTGTATGCCCAACATCCTGGACCCAATCGCTGCTCCTGCTCTTTTAACTTCAACTGGTCTGTTTTCCATTCCTCTAGCTTCATTTCCACAACATAGAGAAGCCTCCGGCAACAGAAGCATCTTCCCCAAGCTTCTCTCTGTAAATTGATTGCCTCGGCAAATTGCATCATCTATCCTAGAAATGTTGCTCGAGAATTCTAATATGGAACTCCCTGGATCAGCTACAGGACCAGGGCTGGAGAATGCAAAGCTTGGCATTGAGGATACAGGGGACACGAATTGCAAAGCATTTGAATCATCACAACTGCGAAAAGAAAATCCACCAGATTCAAAGCTAGGTGTTGATGGCTCCGCTAGGAAAGAAGAGAATGATGATCTGCACGTGAAAGTAGGAGACTGAACATCATGAATGATAGGTGATCCAGCACCAAAGCTGACATCCTGATCCCTGGCCATCAATATGGAGAATGAGCTGCCACCTGAATCCCATTCTTCACAACTTTGCTTTTCATGTTGACTAGGTTCTTCAGGATACGGTCCATCATACTTCATCCAGGAATTATCTACAGAATGAGAAATCAAAGATTAAATATTTGGAGAAAGCATCACATAAAAAAAAATATGAAAAAGGGCACTCTCTTTTGTAGGAGGCAAGAACAGGTACAATCACGCTGATCAGCTAATGAGAAAGAGAGAGAAAGGGGACACTTCTTGACTTTCAGGCCCTACCAACACCAGTCAGTTGCACAACGTATATGTTGTGATTCATATGAAGCCAGCTAAAGCAAAACGCAGCCACAATGGTGTGATGAATATTGTGATTTTCTAAAACAATTCAAAGTATAAACAATGGAATGACAGCTCATATAAACAGCAAAATTATCCACTGGAAGAGAAACCAAGAAAGGACATACATGCAACAATTGATAAGACCAACTAACAAAAAAACATCAGAATCTAGAACAAACTCACTTGTCAAAGACCTATCAGTTGTTTTGGAATCTCAGCCAAATTTCATTGTCTTCTGAGCAGGTTTTGTATACATAATCATGTAGTATGCATATTGAATTAGACTTTAGATGCTTCTAACATGAAGTGATTAGTTTTCAAAAAATTCATGTCGTCCTAGAAAAGTATAAAAAATTCATAACCATCCATAGTCCCAACGCCTAATCAGATCCTAGAACAGCTTGACTGGATGAAACTATCAAATAAACTAAAGGACGCATGTCCAGCAAGTAAAATTTGAAAATGAACCCACCTAACACCTGCTGAGCAGTAAATCTTTGTGAGGGATCTGTGCAAAGCATACCCCTGACTAACTCCTTCGCGGATGCAGTTATGTGATCCCAAGGATTGGAAGGAAACCGCAGATCAGCTGCCCTCACAGCATCAAATATCCTTGACTTGGTCTTACCCCAGAATGGTGGCATCCCACTAAGAAGAATATAGAGAATCACCCCCGCACTCCAAACATCAGCAGCCTGGTTATAGCCTCCTGCCAGTACCTCAGGAGCTATATAAAATGGGCTCCCAACAGTCCCATGCAAACTCTGACCTGTTTGAGCAGATGCCAAATATTTAATCTGCCAGACAACTGAAGCTTTACCGAAGACGATAGTCAATATGACAAATTAATGATGAGCAAAAGCCAAAAAGATGAAATGAGAAAATATACCAGGCTTGACGTAGGTTGCAAGACCAAAATCTGCCAGTTTAATCGGTGATGATGAGCATTTTGTAGCTAAGAGGATATTCTCTGGCTTCAAATCCCTGTGAACCACTCCATTTTCATGACAATATAGAACAACTTGCATAAGATGCCTGAAGAGAACCCTAGCTTCAGCCTCAGAAAATCGGCCATGTTTTTCTAACTGGTGAAAAAGCTCCCCTCCAGCACAAAGTTCCATTACCAAGTGAACATAATCCTCGTCCTCATATACTGCCTTCAGATCCACAACATTAGCATGCCCAGATAACCTGGTCATTATTTCAATCTCAAGCTTGACACTCCTTGCATCATCTGACGTCACCAATCTATCCTTGGAAATCGATTTGCATGCCAATACCTCTCCAGTCAGCTTATCAGTGCACACTCTAATAATACCAAATTGTCCCCAACCTAACTGCTCTCCAAGGACATACCTATCTTTCAAATTAGAGGTCTGGTCTGTGTCCAAAATGGTTTCAGTCAAGCTTGAAACTCCATAACAATTGCAGGGTTGCTTCAAGGATTCACAGCTGCTGTTGCTCTTGGCAGCAGCCATACCAAGTTCTATCTCCCCCAACCAGCCCCCAAAATACCAATCAAAATCCCAGCATACAATTCAATAACCTATTGGCTGTTTTTTCAGTATTCTCAAAACACCACCAAACCCCTTATTTTAGCAAAAGCAGGTAAAGTCAAAATTCCTGGCTTTTTTCCTCCCAAATTACCAAAACCACAATAGAGGTCAAGATCCTAACAGAACCCTTCTCATGACTAGTTCTGAGAAGCTGATAGTGACCCTTCCCGTGACTAATACGATGATGTGTATTTAGACATTACATTACTAGAAGTCTAGAACACAAACCTTGATAAAGGCAAAACATTGACGGCTCAACTAGTAACTTCTTCCAATCTCACCTTAACCAGCTAGATCTGAAACAACATCAGAAAATAACAAAATTCAGAACCCAAGATATCAACTTTTCCATAATACATCAAAAAACACAACATCAAAACAAAACCCACTCACGCAAACTCTCTCGTTTATCATACATTTCATTCAAACATTAAAAAAGTTACAAACTTTTAGTGCAGCAAACTAAAACCCTGGAGTAACCCATCAGCTAAAACCCCACAAAAACACAAACAAGAGCAAAATTCAAAAACCAACCCATTATTTTTTACCTGAAAACAAGACAACCCAGAATTAGATCCTAACAAATCCCCATCACCATCGACACATACTCGCGTTAAAACAAAATAACTACATAAAAAGAGAAGGAGAGGGAGGACACCTGGTTAGAGAGAGAGATTGAGACCGTTGGAGCAGGGGATTTTTGAGCTCTTCAAGACAAGAGAGAGAGCCCCCTTCCCCTTTCTCTCCCTCTCTGCTGCGTGACTGTATTTGTCCTTGTTCCCTTTGTGGGGTCTCTCCTTAGTTTTAGTGTTTCTCTCTTTTATTTATTATTATTATTATTTTTTTGAAGTTGAAAGCTTTTGCCTTCGTTCTTCTTATGGTTTCCTCGGACTTGAAGGCGGCCATTAACTTTGTTTAATTAACTACAGCTAGCTATGACGTTGTTGAATGCAATGTCGTGTTGGAAATACCCAACTCAAGTCATAAGGCGTTTTTATCCATTAAAATAATAACTAGTGTAAACTAAAGATAATACTAATGTAGTGATGGAAAATGTGTTCTTGGAATAATGTAGCAAGAAGATTTAGAATTCACACACAAGCTAACCAAGGATCCACTGCAATGAAGTGGACTCGTGAATTCGATTCCACAAAGATAAAATTAACATTAGTAAAAGAATTGAAGTAAACTATTTATTATATTATTTAAAAAGTTACTTATCTAAATTAACTTGTATCATTTCTTTTACTATGCAGTGATATTTTTATAATTTTTAAATATTTTAAAAATATTTATTATGAAAGTTTTCTTAACATTATATTTTGATTTTTTTAACATTATTCTTTTAGTTTGTAAATATTTTTTTATATAATTTTAAATATTTTTTTTGTTTAATTTTAATCACTTTTGTCTTTTTTTTCTGATTTTTTAATTAAAATTTTTAAGACAAAAAAATATTTATAAAAAACAAATTACAAAATAAGTTTTTAGTTAAAAATCCATTTATTTTCACATTTTTATACTATTATAAATTTTTTAGTTTGTGGATAAAATAAATAAATAAAATTTTAATAAAAAATTTATGAAAAATATAAAGAATAATCAGTTAATTTTGATTAAAAAATTACAAAATTGAATAAATCATTATTCATTTTTTATTTGATATTTTTTTAATATATGCATAATATAACACGAAATATTAAAGTAAAATAATTTTATGTGTTCGTCTTCTCCGTAACATAGCACGGGTGAAAAAATTAATACCAACTTATTAAGAATACATTATAATAAAATGAAATCATAGAAATCATCCTTAAAATTGTTTGAAGAGAAAATTTAGAATTGACGTACAAACCAATTCTAGAGTAGATTGATACGAGGATATCTCTTGCCGTTAAGAAAGGTTAAAAAAGAAAAGATAATGCTATCTTTATCCAAAAATATTTCTTAAAGAGGGGTCAAATTAGAACAGAAAGTTAGCCATGAAAAGCTTTTAAACAATAAGGGTATAAATGAAACATTTATGAATATTTAGGGATGACAAATGAATTTATGAGGGTAAAATTCCTCTCCACCGTTCTAAACCCCCTCTCAATGCTAGTGCCTAAAACCCTTTCCTTTCGATGTCATAATTTTCTTTAAATCCAGAAGCAAAACAAATGAAATCAATCAAATCTAATCTAACCCATAAAATTTATTCCTTTTGATCTCAAATGAGAGGAACAACAATCGGAAGACGAGTCTATAACCCCAACAATTTTCTCACAAATCCCACATCCAAACACGCCCCAACTTTCTTATCCTCCTCGCCTTTCTCCACCTCCTCCGGCCGAGGCCGTGGCCGTGGCGTCGGAGATGGCGGATCTCCATCCAGTGCAGCAGCCCCAGGGAACGATGACTCGGAGGAGTCACAACCGAGTGGACTCGGTCATGGTCGAGGCAAGCCAATTGGTACCAGACCAGTTCTCCCCGCCTTCGCCAGTTTCATTGCGGCTGTGAAAAAAGACCAACCTGGCTCCGGGCGAGGCCGAGTCACCACCGAGTCGGGACCGAGTCGACCCACTGAGGCACGCCCCGAGCCACCATCTCCCAAGAAGGCCGAGTCCCATCTGCCTTCTAGTATTATATCAACTCTAAGTGGTACCGGGCGTGGAAAACCGGTTAATCAAGGCAGGCCCACTGAGCCGATGAAGGAAGAGAACAGGCATATCCGGAGCCCGACGCAGCCCCAGACAAGGTCCCAAATAACCCCTGGTTCATCCGTGCCGAAAATGAGTAAGCAGGATGCGGTGAAGAAGGCAGTGGATTTATTATCACGCCGTGGTGGTGAAGCAAAGGCGGCGGGAGGCGAAGGGAGAGGGAGATTTGTTAGCGGAGGAATGGGAGGTGGACGTGGTAGAGGTAGGACAATGGTACGGAGGAGAGGCAGAGGGAGAGGAAGAAGGGATTATGATGACGACGAAGTTTATGGAAAGATTTGGGACCATCCAGATGCTGAAGAGCAGCTTGCTCAAAGTGTTGGTGTTGAAAATATGCAAAAAATTGTTGAAGGTTTTGAGGAGGCGTGTGGGAGAGTGTTGCCTTGTCCCGTGGAGGAGGACTATGTGGAAGCCTTCGATACCAACTGTTCGGTTAGTGTGTCTTGGTTTTCTGCTTCTTTCTCTTTTACCTGTATGGTTGCATTCACTCCTCAGGGCTTAAGATTATGTGATCTTAATTCGGAAAAAAATGGAAAAATATTCTAGTCTCCTGCTAACTTTAGAATTTGTATTAGCAAATGACCATTAGCTGTGCAAATATGATCAAAATGATAATCTCTCACAATGCATGTATGTATACAATGTCACAATCAAATTTCTGACTCGGGTTATAGATAATACATATGACCTAGTGACAGCAGTAATGGATAGAACTTACAAAAATGGAATTTAACCTTCTAGGTGAACGTTTTCTACATGGTCAGTCCTGGCATTGCTCATGATGTTTTGGAATTTAAGAGGTGATGTTTTGGATTATTTATATTTGTGTGACTGGAAATTAGAAAATCTTGCCGAGTTAAAACTATCATTGAACTATTTGTATGTTGCTAGTGCAATCCACTTTAATTGTATAATGTGGCCTAACTTATTGTGCTTGGTGTTTGCATTGAAATTAGGTGATTGAAATAAGAATATTAATAAATTGCTTTTGAAAATAAGAAGTTTGCAGTTACAGAGTCATATGCAATTTTCTGCTTGTGCAATGTTTGAAAATGGAGAGTGTGATAAAGTGTGGTTTTAATTCTTTGGATTGCAGTTTGAATTTGAGCCAGAGTACTTGATGGGTGAGTTTGATAAAAATCCAGACATTGATGAGAAACCACCTATGCCTCTTCGGGATGTACTGGAGAAGGTGAAGCCGTTCATGATGGCATATATAGGAGTTAAGAGTCATGAAGAGTGGGAGGTACTTTCTGTCTTTTGTTTTGTTTTTTTTTTTTTTTTTTCCTCGAGACAACTTGATTGATATGAGGAAACTTTACAATAACAATGCAGACATTTTTGTCTATTCATATATAGTTGTTCTTTAAATTACCGTTGTTTAGTTGAAGTTTATAATTTTTTGACATTTCTATCCTACCATCTTGACCTTCTGGTGTTCAATTTTCTTCTTAATTTGAGGTCATTACTTGCAGCAGTATCCTAAATTTTGCAGTTATTTTCCCTTTGCAGGCGTAAAAGGCACCCATTGCTTGTCGTTTTTAAAACCTGGTTTTCTTGTTCTTTTGCCCCATCACTTTTGTTTGCTCTGATGTTAATGTGGTTGTAATCCTTTTTCTAGTGGCTAAATCATTGTTGAGCTTTATTGTATGAAAGCTCAATAGCATGAATGACTAAATGCTAGAAAGTATCAGATATTTAAAAAGACATGGTGCCAAAGTTTTCGTAATTCTTTAATCATGGCATAATTGTGTTTGATGTGTCCTCATAACCAGAGATTATGGTCTTTAAATGCATGACCCTCATGATGCTAATGGTTGTGATGAAAGTCCTGGAATGTGTTCTGCATTCTGGTGTTCTGCTTTCAGTTTCATCAACAAACAAAAGAAACTATACAGAAAAGATAATGGCTGGGAGGTTTTAGAATAAAATTGGTATTGGTTGCAAAAACCTGTTTACTATTATTCTGCAATTGTGTATTTCACTCTAGTGATGCTTGGTATATGGTTGATAGGTTTAATATCTGTGATTTGATATTTCACCACTTACCAGGAACTTGTTGAAGACACGATGAAGCAAGCGCCGTTAATGAAAGAGATTGTTGATTCCTACAGTGGACCTGATAGAGTATCTGCAAAGAAACAACAAGAAGAGTTGGAAAGAGTTGCAAAAACTATTCCTGCAACTGCACCTGATTCTGTAAAGAGTTTTGCTGATCGGGCAGTTCTTTCTCTTCAGGTTAGTATTTATGTTGGCCATGTTCCAGATATCATGCTGAGGTGAAGTGATGCCATGAAGATGTCACATTATTGTTTTACTTAAACTGCATGCAAAAGTTACAATGTTTGGCCATTTTTATCATCATTGTGCTAAAAGCCTAAAAACTTTTGAGTAACTGCTTTGGGGTCTGGTAGCTTGTTCATTGTAATTGATCAAATGGCATAGATTTGTGGTGTTGCAAAACTCCACCGTTTTGTGGCATTTGAGAGAAACCAGGTTTAACGGTGCCGCAAACAATGGGCTTGTTTGCATGATTACCATAAGCATTTCTAGCTCATTTGTGGGGTAGTGGACTCATATAAGAGCTTCACAGCCTTATGTCCCAGTGACGCTAGACAACATGATTGGCCGATTTCTCTGCTGCCATCTTATAGTCAATTTGGATCAGTAGTAATTGGACTATCTTTTTGGGCCACTTTTTAGTTTTATTGCTGCTACTAATGTGGCCTAATCAAAATGTTTGTGGTAGATCTGTATTGTAAATAGCAAAGTGTGGTGAAGTGGGTGGAATGCAGCATGTCTATGAGCTTTCTTCTGAGCGGTATTGAAAGTTTAAAGATGTGTGGATCAGTAAAGAAGCCCAATGCTACCCACTCCTGAGAAATTTGCTTGAAGTTAAATATTGATGTGTCTGTAATAGTTAAACCTGGTCCAGCAAGTGCAGTGGAGCCTACGAAGGTCCTAATGGTGTGGGATTGCCTAAACAATCTTAGGCATGGCAGCCTCAAATGTTACACAACTTTGTGCTGTCTCTGAAGTGCTTGATTAGTTTCTAGATATGGGTTAGAGTAGTGCTGAAGGCTGATTATCAGGATGTCACTAATCAGTGTTGATGGTATAGAAGATGGGTTAGGAGATATAAAAATGTTTCTGCGCCACAATCCATAATTTGCTTCCTTCTTTTTCTTATGTGTCGTCTAGTAATGAGAGCATCTAAATTGCTTTTAGACTCTTGTAGAAATGGGAAGAGGCAATACGAAAAAGTTCTGGTAGTCAGTCTGACATTGATGGTGGCATTTTATGGTTGGGGTGTTGATTTAGATAAATTTGAACTTGAGGGAGTTTAAAAGTGCTATTGCATGGGTTAATGCATTTGGGCCTGTGGTTATTATCTGCTGCATCTTTGTAACATCAAAGTGTTGGGATAATGCACAAGGGTGAAATTCTGAGTGGTTGTGTTTTGCCTTGTGTTAGTATGAATGATTTATATGTTTTTATGTTTTGTTTTTCTTGATTTCTATTTCAAAAGACTCAGTTTCCGAATCTGTGGTGTTCAAAATAAAGACTTTTTGAATGCTGTTGGGAGGGAGGTTTCTTGCTGGCCATTTTATTTATATCTTTTGTATTGCACTGCATGATTTGAGCTAGATGCTTTTGGGGAATATGCATTATCTCTTACAAAATTTTGCAATGCAGAGCAACCCTGGCTGGGGATACGCCAAGAAATGTCAATTCATGGATAAGCTGGCATGGGAGGCTTCTCGGCACTACAAATAAGATATTAGGCTTTTGCATTTCAGAACACTGATAATTTGTTCCAGGATTTCCAATGCTCGAAGCGGTGCCTTCTAGGGAACTAGTACCAAACGTTGATCGATATTTTACCATTTGTCCTAGACAAGCAGAACATTCAAAATAATCTGTTCAGTATCATCTGGTGCTGTAGTGAGCCCGCAAAACAATTCTTTTGAATGCTTGCAGTGCAAAGTTTTGAATCTTTTCGAGCGACACTTGGCTCTTTCTTCCTCTTCCTTTAATATTACTCCCAGGCCTGACAATTGATTCTTTATATACATATGGCTTCTGCTCTGTATGTTCATTGTGCAGCAAGGCATAGAAGTAACCAACTGAACGGCCGACGATAGTTCTTTCCTCGTGACCCAGACTCGACACGATTGCTCTACTTTCATTTTTTCCCTCTTCACATTTTAATTAAACTACCCAAAATGATTCCTGATTGGCTGATCAGTGTAGAGCCAGGTAAGTGTAATGAGGCAGCATGACCATGCAGTGCAAGAGACTCCAAAGCCTGCACCTTTATCCGTAGAAATGATGAATCAGATGGTTGAGGTTATCTGGGGACTGCCTTACCTGAATTCAACTATTTTTCAGATTGCACCTTGATTTATGACTGCACTTGGGGCTGTTCTGGTTAACTTTTATGGGCTCTTTTCTTATTTAATTTGTTTAATGGTTTCGTACGGTCCTTTGATAACTCTCTGTTATGGCAGAGTTAGTATCTACGGTTTAAGTTTTCTCAAATTCATTAGTTTTCATGCACATTGCAAATTGCAATGACTGCAGTGCACATCATTTGCAGATTGTGGGGGCTAATTTCAATGACTAAAGATGATGGATTTAGGCATGTTTGTGAAGTCAAAAATGCAAAGGAAATATCAAAATGATCATAACAATGTGCAAAAGAATACAAAAAACTTAGAAACGGTTTTTGGAACCTGATGAGGTTAGAAAAAGAGAATTGCTTCATCATTTGATCCCAAATAGATTACCCAATTCTCAATTTCATCCTCAAAAAATGTTTTCAATTGGATCCCAAACGTTTCATGCATCTCCCAATTGGGTCCTTTTTCCCTTTTTTGTATACAAGAGTCTGATAAGTTTAGTTTTTTAACTATTGAAGAAAAATATGATTTTGACTTACTAGGGGTGAGATTTGATTTTCATCCTTGAAAAATTCTTTATTATTATTATTTCATGTGTCATACTAGACATTGATTAATTGTGGGTTTAAATAATTCGATTTCTAAAATTAACTCAAAATTAAACTTAATAGCTACTAATATAATTTAGTGAGTGGTGAATTTAGTTTTGAATAACATGAGGAATTGTTTAAGAATATTCCACCAACTATATTATCAAAAAAATAAAAATAAAAATTGATATGTAGGGGATTAAAGTGAAAACAAGTTGGATCCTAACATGAAAAGCATTCCTCAGATTACCTCAAGGATATAATAGAAATAGGACTAAAGTGAAAATAACTTAATATATAAGGGTCAATATGAAGTTTGCCCAAAACATAATCTTGGAAAGTCACTTAAATGTTGACGTTGTTTACTCTCTCTCTCTCTCAAGTCAGCCAAGTTGGCACCACTGGTGAATAGAGATACGCAGAAATGGAGCTTGTAAAGGCTCTGGTCTTGGATTTTTAGGTAAATCCATTCCTCTTTTCTCTCTGTTTCTTGTCAAGTTTGATTATTTTCTCAAGTTTGGCACCTCTTATTCCTCAAGTTCTGGTTTTTATGCTTATGTAATGATTCTTCTACGTCGATTTCTTCCCCTTTTTGGTTTGGATGCTTTGTTTTGATTTGTATTTAAAGTTTGCTGCGGTGTTTGGTACTTGAGAAAATGGTGGAAGGAGAAAGAAATTGTGATTTCTTAACTTTTCATGTAAGTCCTAGCTGCTGAATAGAATGATTGGGGATTAGTTTAGTAATCGCCTTATAGATGCTTTAATTGCTTATCTTGTGCTAATTATTGTTTTCTGTTTATGTGCTAAATGCCATACAAACTGAAATTAGAGTGGTAGTTTAGAATTTTATTGGGATATGGTGCTTAGAATTTTGCTATCAAATTTGATGCAATGCTATGGGGAAGAAATCAAAAGAAAAAAAACCTCCTATGTAATCAGTAACGACATTACTCAGTTATGGTCTACTGAAGTGTGGTCCTAGTTTTACAAGCACCGTGTCTCGGTCATGAACAGAGAAAGTTTGGTTCTATTTAAGAATATGATAGAACACAAATGAGCAATAAGGAAGGATCAAAAGATATAATGCTTAACACACCTCTGAATATCCACCTGCTATAATCTTTTATTGAAATCAGAACGTTAACAGCAATCCGAGAGGCTGTGTCTCTCCCTGACAAAATGTCACCCCAAAATTACATCCAAAAAAAATGCCCCACTTCTCTTCTTGAAAGACCAGCTTATATATTCCCCCCACCCCTGAATCTGTTGTAACCAACTCTAGGTTGACAGGCTGTTGCCCCTAAACGGAATACCTAATGGCCTGCCAATCCCCAAAATGTAATTAATCAATGTAACTAATCATAGCAATTTGTAATTTAACTACATATCAATTTGTAATGTAAAAGTAACCAATATTGACGTAGCACTACAGTCCAACCTCTGCCCTTGCTCAAGCTTACTGCCCCTCTTCCAGAATCAACTCATCTTGCTTCAGCCCATCATTATTCTTTAGCCCATCATTATTCAACCTTGCACTTGCACCAGCCTTCCCTTTCCTTTTATACACAATTCTGATCGCAGGCCTAACAGAATACAATCAGCTATCCTGGTGCGCTTTCTGTAGGGATCGGTTTTTTTACCAAGATCTTACTGGTGAATAATATTCTGCCAACTTTATTGGAGATGGTTTACAAAACTTTCGAGTAAGAAGTTAGAAATGCAATTCAGGATACTGTCACTTACTTTGTTCATTAGGTTTCCTCCATGAACTTGTTAGCATTAGTTTCGGTTTAATGTAGTTGAGTTAAATAATAAAACTTTCAATTTACATGGAAAGAAAAGAAATCTCATTGTTCTCTCTAAATGTGGCATAAAGAATTGTATCAATGCAACATTAATTGAAATAGCTGCTAACGAGAGACCCACTATATTCTTAATAGACAAAGACCATCAATATTGATTATACGACTATTTTATATTTGGGCATAATTGGTTTAGAAAGCACATCCACTAAGACATTTTTTATTCTCTGTTTTCATTCTCAGAAATGAGCAAAGCCTCAAATATTGAAAGAGCTAAACAGATAATAAGGAATTGCATGAAAATCCATAAATGTAAAGCAAAATAACCGTTTATGACCACATTACATGCTTCTAACCACCTCCTTCTCTCCTACCTTCAAGCATTTGTATACAGCAGCTCTATGGACAACCTTGAAATTAGAATCATTACCAACTTAAAATTTGATGTTGATAATAAGTCAACTCTGAGATTGTAAGGACACAAATTGTGTTGTCTGTTCTCCCTTCGTTTTGATCCAACAACATTTTTTTCCTAAAAATGCCTTAAAAGTTTTCATGTTCCCTCATTTTTCCTCAACAAAAGGAATGACTGCATCCCCTCAATTTTTGCAAGTGTTTATTTGTTTTTCTTGCTGGAAAGATCTCATATATCTTAAGGCCTCAATGACAACTGTTTCTGCATTTCACTTTCCAGGATATGTGTTCTGATTGAACCTTTTGATAGCATAATAGCTAATGGCACAGTCTGTGAGTTTGATCAATACATACCCCCTCAAACTGGGGTTTGCTCCTCAGAGAAGAGTTTCCAGTGGAAAATATGAAACTTCTGTTTCCAGATCCTCGCCCAGGCTCCTTAGGATTCGAGCTGTGCAAGAGAATGAAGGGCCTCGAAGACTAGTTGATATAATCAGAATCATACCCGAGCTCTCGAGGAACTATTTTCGAAGTCCTTCGAGGAGGGCGCTCTTTGGGGGAATTTCCTTGTTAGGTGGCTTTTACGTGGCACAAACAATTTCTCTGTCATTTGGAGCTCTAGGAGTAAATGATGTGATTGCTGCTGTTGTGTGTGTTCTCTTAACTGAGTATGTGACGAGGTTCTATTACAGCCAGCCGAAGGTAACCTTCCCCCTTGCTCTTCTCAACAATTTCAAGATGGGATTCACTTATGGCCTCTTCATTGATGCTTTTAAGCTTGCTAGTTAATTATGCCTTAGAAACCATTTGAGTTGCTAGTCTTTTGGAGACATTTTGGTTCTGTGAAGTTTACTTTTGAGTTATAATGCTGGTTAATCAATGCTTTTAAGCTTCGCTTATTCTTTATTTTTCACCAAGGCAGAAACTTGCTTTTTGTTTTGTAAATATGTAATTCATATCAGCTTCCATGTCAATACTATCATGGCATATGTTACAGTCTCATGGCACACAAGAATATTAATCATTGGCTTCTTATCTTAGTTTTTGTCATTTAGCTTATTTCTTCTTTATTTATAATTTCATTTCAGTCCTAGGCTTTGGTACTAGAACATGAAACAGTCCTTATATTGATAATTTTGAACAATTAGTACATAAACTTTTTTTTTCCATGTTCTAGCGCAAAATATCTTACGTATTTATATACATGTATCAAGACAGCAAGGTAAAAAATATGAATAGGGCCATGCTTTACCGTTTTGTTTGTTTTTGTTTTTTGTTTTCTTGTTTTTTTTTGTTTTTTTTTTTGAGATTGATGTTTTACCCAGTAATTAGGAAAAAAAAACTATTGAAGTTTATTATAATCAATGATTTTATTGAGTGATTTTAATAACTTGACTCTATAAATAATATTGAAAAACTCTAATATTTAACTCTTTTTTTAAAAAAAATAAATAAATAATGAGTCCACTTTTCTTACTTCTATTTTTCGTTCACAATATTTTACTAGTATTGTTTTTTTTTTTTTTGAACAACACAATCATTCGATTGGTATTAAACTCTCCGTCTCAAAACCTTTCTGATGCTTTTATTTTTAATTTAGCGTGTATGATCTATTTCAATTGTAAGTTCGGTAATTTAATCTTAAATATTAGTCATATAATTGTTCGTATATATAATATACTTTTGCATATAATAACGATACATAAGGTTATCATACAACTATTCAAAATATGAAAAAAAAATAAAAATTATGGACCATTAATAAAAATGATAAATTACAATAACTCCTTTAAAGTATTATGGAATTATAAGAATCATCCAAAAATTTAAAGATTTGATAGAAACTCCCAAATATACCTAAAATGAAATAATAATTAAATTAATAATTTTTAAAAATTAGAGAAAGAATATGAAAAAAGAAACTCAAAAAAAAATTGAATCTCGATATTGTTCATGTACTAAAAAAATAATCAAGTCCCATTTTCTTATATTATTCCTCTAATTTTTTCGGTTCTTAATTTGAATATCTTTTTAAGTAGTAATTAAGGGCTTTTTGGATGCAAAAAGAAGTCTCTCTGATATTTTCTTAAACACGTAGGTTATTTATTTACTTATTTATCATATCTTCAAACTTTTGTGTGGTCTTTATAATTTCACAATGCCGCAAGGAAGTTATTGTAATTTACCCTAATATAAATATCATTTATTCATTGTATTTTTTTTAGATGATGACGAAAAGTATTGATGCTAAAGTTTATTTTTTATTTTATTTAAGATACTTTTAGATAAAAATTCATCCAGTAAATTATAAATTAGTTCCTATTGTTTTGAGAAATGAATTAATTAGTCCGTTTAGTTTCAAAAATTAATTATTTAGTCTTGTTAGTTAGTGCTAATCACAACTAATTTCATTTTTTTTTTACTTTATAAAATTTATTATTTTTCATCAATCTTGTCATATTTTTACATATTTTTTATATTCCTTTTCTATTTACTAAAAAAAATCAAAATAAATTAAAAAAATAACAAAAAATACTAAATAATTAATTTTTGAAACCAAAGAGACTAATTAATTTGTTTCTTAAAACGAGATGAACTAATTTATCATTTATTCCAAATTTATCTGAAAATAATTTTTTATTTTTTTGTAGTGGTTGACCAAACTTGAAAAGAAAATTTTAGGTCGTGTCATTAGAAAAAAAAAATAATAGAAAGATAAAATAGTTTCACTTTTATATTGATTTAGGATCTAATCATACACTCATAAACTTTAAGGATTAAAATATAATTTGTCATTTGTGAGTCATTATGTTGTGTCATGAGTGCGTGTCATCATGTCTTTTTCCCAGGAACTGTAATACTAGTTTAGAATCTAGTTGCAGAGCAGCGGCTAATGTTTTCTTTATTTCTTATTCTTCCTTTTGTATATAAAAAGTCTATTTATTATATTATCTTAATATATTTCTGTATATTATATTTTATTACATCTTTTTTATCCATTGATTTTAGAGTAAGTTAGAAATCAGTGTCTCTCATTTTGAGAAACAAATTAATTAGTGTTTTGGTTTTAAAAATTAATTATTTAGTTATTTTAATTATAATTGATCACGACTAGTTTAATATTTTTTTATTTTATAAAATATTTTATATTAATTTATTAGTTTTTATATTTTTTGAGGTGCTAAAAAAAATTAAAAGAATGTAAATTGTTTTAATGATTAATTAAAAACAAAAATTCAATCAGGTACCCAACGTAGATCCAAATGTAGTTTTAATTTTGATGAGTTAAAAAATATTTGAACATTTAACGAAACATAACTTTACTTCAATATTTATATAATTAATTAATTTTAAGTTATAATTTTTTATAATAGAGGAAATGGTATGATTATATTGTTGTGTGAGAGTTATATAAATTAAAAAATATACATCATGTTTTTTTTTATATATAAATTTTATAACAAGATATGACAATTTAATACAAAAACGGAGTCTCTAAATAGGGTTTTTTCAATTATTTATTTATTTATTTATCAAGATTTGGTTAGCGACTAATGTGGTATTTACTGATTAACCCGCTCAACAAATCCGTATTTCAGCATTCACAAACTACGTGTCGGTTTCCCAAAACAACAGGAAACAAATCCATCACTATAAATACCCTCTTCAAAATGGATAATACAGTAAATTACATATCCTCGTCAACTGGACGCCTTCTCCTCTCGTCGAAAAAAAAAAAAGAAATCCCCAAACTAAAATCTCTCACTCTAGAAATCCGAAATTAGGTTTTATTTTTTATTTTTTTAATTAAGCCCTAAATTGCCACAAATTCGATCAATTCAGTTAGGGTGTTTTCATGATCAGATTCAATTCGAAGATTCTGATTCGAAAATTTCAATCTTGAATCAATGGATTTAGATTATAACGGAGGCAACAGCACCAACACAAACAAGCGAGTTTTCAATCGATTAGGAGGCGGTCAATCGGCTAACGATACGTCGAATCAATACCGTCACCAGCCGAATCAGAAGGTCTGTTACCATTGGAGAGCTGGAAGGTGCAATAGATTCCCATGTCCGTTTCTCCACCGTGAACTTCCAGCACCGCCAACGCATGCAGTCGTGAACGGAGGAGGAGGAGGAGCGAAAAGAGGTTTTGCTGGGAATGATTCGTCGTCGTTTTCTGGGAGAAGGGGTAATAATAGTAATTATAGTAATAGTTGGGGCCGATTTGGGAATAAGGGTGATGTGAGAGGGGCAAAAGCGGGAAGTGTGGTGAAAGTGTGTAATCATTGGGTACAAGGGAATTGTAGTTTTGGTGACAAGTGTAGGTATTTGCATTCGTGGAGTTTAGGTGATGGGATTTCTTTGTTGACTCAACTTGAAGGGCATCAAAAGGTTGAATTTTTTATTACTTTTTTTTTTTTTGGATTTTTTAGGTGTTTTGTGTAATGGGTTTTTGTGGGTTTGGGATTTGGTAGTTGATTTTGTGGGTTTTGATGTGATCAGGTGATTAGTGGGATTGCATTGCCATCTGGGTCTGATAAGCTTTATACAGGGAGTAAAGATGAGACTGTTAGAGTTTGGGATTGCCAGTCTGGACAGGTTGGATACTTTACCTGTTTTTTCAGTTTAAATTGTAGTCAATTTTTTCTATGTTAAGTTTGCTTTTTCGTAAAGAATGAATACTAGTATATTGAATTGCTGAAAGACTATGGCTGTGATTGGGTTGTAATGGGCTGTGTTGGTATTAGCAATGGTGTTTCAAATTGATGTTTCTAATGTTTGTGTTGGATAAATCATCTAAATTGTGTTAAATGCTAAGCACATGCTTTTGTGGATTTTGTTTAGAAGCAAGACACCGTGCCTTTCAATATTATGCAAATGTGCTTAATCAAAAATTTTGATTGAATGACAAATCTTAGATTTTGCTTGCATATGTGATTTTAGTGGTTCCATTGTTAGTTGATTTTAGTGATTCCGTTGTTAGTCTATTTGTTTTAGATATTGACAGTTTGGCACAATAGAGGAATAAAGTAAAAGACCTACTAATTTTATTTTTACAAACTGTTTTTTTTTTCTCAGTTACGATGTATAGTAACTGACTTGCTTAATGTTATGCAGATATGCTCAATAAACTTTTTTGATTGAATGACAAATTATAGATTTTTCTTGCAGATGTGATTTTAGTGGTTTCCTTGCTAGTCGATTCTAGTGGTTTCACTGTTAGTCTATTTGTTTTAGATATTGACGTTTGGCATGATAGAGGAATAAAGTAAAAGACCTGATTTTATTTTACATGCTGTTTTCCCCCTCTCAGCTAAATGTATAGTAACTGACTTGCTTAATGGATATTCTTGTGCCTGTGTTATTTTTACAGTGTATGGGTGTGATAAATCTTGGTGGTGAGGTTGGTTGCATGATTAGTGAAGGTCCTTGGATTTTTGTTGGTACTCCAAATGTGGTCAAGGTTAGGCAAGGCTTTCTCATTGTTCTTGACTTTTATTTTATATGATTGTAAACCTACTTTGATAATAATGTGCTGAACAATTTTACCTCCATGGGAATGGCTGACACAATTCTTTTGCAGGCATGGAATACACAAACTAACACTGACCTGAGTCTTACTGGACCTGTGGGACAAGTTTATGCTTTGGTCGTGGGTAATGATTTGTTATTTGCTGGTACACAGGTAATCTTCTTCTTCTTCTTCTTCTTCTCTTTTTTTTTTTTTGAGGATTATTGTTCTTAAAATGTTGTTGATTCTCATGTTCTCACCATATTCTGCCTGCCAGGCTATTATTCAAGTTGGAAAGTGTCCAGTTCATCCTGTTAGGGATTTTGATTGCATTATACATACTCTTACAGAGTTATGCCTTACATGAACATTGTTTGGTGTATGCTGAGTTAGGATATGATTTTTGCAAAATTACCGAAAACGTTTGTTTATTTACACCGAGAAATTCAATCCCAACCCCCAGGGTGATGGGTAGGTTGTTGTGTATGTTCATATGTTTGAAATTGAGAAATAAGATTGACCACTGAATTTTCTTTGGTGCAGGATGGGTCAATATTGGTATGGAAATTCAATGCAGCTACCAACAACTTTGAACCAGCTGTGTCATTAAAGGATCACAAAATGGCAGTTGTTTCATTAGTTGTTGGAGCTAATAGACTCTACTCTGGTTCTATGGATCATTCTATAAAAGTAAGTTGGTTTAGTGCCGTGTGGAATTTTATCTTCTGATTTTAATTTAGAACCTTTAGTGGTTGTTAGAACATTGTAAAGTAGGTTTGCGTCCCATATATATTTTTCCCTTTTCTTTTAACTAGTATTTCTCGATGCACTTTTGCTTAGGTCTGGAGCCTTGAAACTTTGCAATGTATACAAACACTGAGAGATCATACTTCAGTGGTCATGTCGCTACTTTGCTGGGAGCAGTTTCTTTTATCATGTTCATTGGATCAAACAATAAAGGTTTGTTAATATCATACTTCCTTTTTCCCCTTTGCTGGGATAAGGTTATTTAGTTGTTCCTACTACTGTTTTTTGTTCAGGTGTGGGCTGCTACAGAAAGTGGAAAATTAGAAGTCACATACAGTCACAGTGAAGAACATGTAGGTTATGCAGTTCGAATTACTTATTTTCCATTGAATTTCAATATTTCGATATCAATAGAACATTATTAAAAAGTGAGTTGCTGAGCATGTCGATTAATGTGATCTTAGTCCCTGATGTCTGTTTCTGGGCATCCAGTCCTTCAAGATGCTGCTAGATAGATCAACTTCTTTCACTACCATATGCCCTCTTAATATTGGGAGGTTGTCTTATTGTTGCATGTGATGTGGACTTCTAAAATACTGGGATTTTTGGGTGGGGTTTGGTTCATGTTTGCCCCCATAGGTCTCAATGAAGATCCATGCCAGAATTGTTAGTTGTAATTGTAGCGTAGCTTTTTGATGTCTCACAAGCATGATCCATTCATGGCTTAGATTTGTACAGTATTTATTAATTGTTACATATATGGTATTTATGAATTATACTATCACTTTACTTCTGGATTCTGAGGGATGGATCCTGATTATGGAAACGTTAAAGACATTAATATTCATGATAAGGTGGTGAAGCCATGAATAGATCTGTTTCTATCCTTCTAATTGGTGATTCTGTGCTATTCAATTTAAATTTTTGGACTACGTGGATATTTCATGGACTGAACACCATACCTGCTCCAGGGTCTGCTTACTCTTTGTGGGATGCATGATTTGGAAGGCAAGCCAATCTTGCTATGCTCTAGCAACGACTCAACAGTCCGCCTCTTTGATTTGCCATCGTGAGTTTTCAGCAATGTCTCTCCCCTTTTCTTTTTCGATTTGTATTCATATAAAATTTGTCTTTTTGTAAGTCAGCTTCTTTTTTGTTCCCCCCACATGTCTGCTTGTCGACTCACTGTTCATAATTGTAATGCTTTTTACCATCTTCAGGTTTTCAGAGAAGGGCAAAATTTTTGCCAAACAAGAGATCCGTGCCATTCAAACAGGTCCTGGGGGCCTATTTTTCACTGGCGATGGCACTGGTCAAGTGAGAGTGTGGAATTCTGTTGCTGTACCAACTGCCACAACTTGATGGCCATTTCTATTTTTATGTGTCATCATGTATTCTTCCTTCACGATTATTTAATTTGAACTTTTTTCTTTTCCTCGCTTATCATGTGATGTAAGTTTGTGGGAGGAATAATTAAGTAGAGATTGCGAGTTTTGGGTTCCTAGCGTTACAGTGTGCCATAGTTATAGAAAGAAGAAAACACGTTGCCGATATCTAAGTTGTACTTGTATCAGTTGAGAGAACTGCCAATCTGACTAAAGTAAATCCATAGTATTCGCCGCACTCTGATCAATCTATATCAATTGAGTTGATCCAATAAATGCCGGAAAGAATTCCTTACCTTATGCACTTTATCTGAATGATGCATCGGATGCCTTCAGGAATGTAGCATGGGCGTTCATGTTCAATTGCAGCCCTTTCTCTGCAGCTACGTACAGGTATTCTACATGTTTTTATATATTTACTGGTGCTGTATGTTATCATTGAGTGTTATGTTTCTTAGGGTGAGGTTTGGTTGATCAGCTATATTAGCTTGTTGGTACTTGGTAGAGCTCGTTGGCAGCATAAGATGATTAAAAAGATGATTTCTTGGATGAGATGTGAGGACTGAGGAAAGCTGACAGGAGCATGCGTGATAGACTGCAAAAAAATTCCCCTGTGTAATTTTCTTGCTATGAGTATCTTCTTTGTAGAGAGGTGAATGGTAAAATGATGTGGTAAATCTAGGGAGGAATACTTCTATTAATTAATCTGCTGCATAGTCGCTTCAATGATTCTTGGCTGCTATTACCGATCTTGGCATAGGTTGTTCTATAGATTTAAATAACATTCGTTACGTTATATTACTATTTTGTGGTATTTCGCCACTGATATGGGGTATTATATAACGGCTGCAACTGTTATTTTATTAATGCAGTAAGCATTTCAACAGCAGCTGTCCTCAAATCTACCCAAAACCACCAATCAGAATCCCAACTTGTAAATCTGCATCTTTTTTAATTTTCAACTAATCTTGAAAGTTGGAACCACAATTTTAAATCGGGAATGGTTGAAAAATGATCATGGTCGTCATTTTGGTTACAGTTTATTATAATAATAAAATAACAATAATAGAATGTTTTGAATAACAATCGTATATAATGTAATGGTTGTTATTTAAAATTATGATTGTAAATTTTTTTTTAGGTTTCAAACCCGTAACGACAAGGTATGTTTTTAAGTAAAATCTTAGAAAAGTACAACACAAACATTGTAAGAACTAAGAACATCCGTACTGTGCCATCCATCACATTTTATTTAGAAGAACAAGCTTACATACATAAGTTCACTACAAGATGCTTTTTACAGATTTTCCAAACTTATAACTTGTAAACCGAGTCTCTGTATAGCTTTATTACATTTTTGATAATATTCTCAAAGGAGAAGTTTTCCCAGCTGATTTTACAGATTAAACATGACCTTAATGGCAGTACTACCGGCGGCACTGGTTTCAAAGGCTTCTTCAATCTCCTTCTGGGAGAAACCAAACCTGTGGGTTATCAAGGGTTTTACATCAATTTTACCACTCCTTAAGAACTCAATGCACAGTGGCCATGTGTTCTTGTAGCGAAAGACACCGATAACATCGACCTCCCTGAAATAGAAACCAATCAAAGTAAAAGGATTTTTCACTGAAATGTAACTACCTACCTATGATGAGGTACCTAGTGTTTATTTCTAAATTACTTGTAAAATATTCTTATCTTGCTTTTCTTTTTGGCTATACCGACAGCTTCTATCTATCAACAGTATACTAATTCTTAACCGGGATCATAACCTTAACCATAAGACTAGAAGAGAACGAAATAGTATCAATTACCTTGCAGCAGCTGGAGTGAGTGGGACGGTCATCTCGTTGTGGCCCATTCCTACTAGGCAAACCTTGCCACCTGGTCTAGTTGCAGACAGGGCTGTTGACATGGTTTTGTTAAAGCCTGCACAATCAAAGGTGACATCCACTCCAGTCCCCATAGCTTGATGTATCAATACCACTTCTTGAGCTACATCCTGTAGAAGTTTGATCGTCAGAGAATGTATTTGGTACCGGGAACACAAGATGGAAATGAGAAGGGTACGACTTTGATTTTGGTTGTTTCAGGTTGTCTTCAAAGCAAAACCAACCCAAGGTAGGATAGACCTGTTACCATGTTAGCAATCCAAAACCAGTCCATTTGCAACCAATTCATGTAGATTTAAGGTTGGTTGGTTGACATCGGCATACTTGTCTTAGCTCATAATAAAAAGTGAGTGAGGTAAATATTCTATCGCAATAACGAAAACTAGTTCTTGAAGTAGGAAAAAGAAACCTGAAGATTGGTTGAAACTTTAACAACTTCATTAGCGCCAAGATCCTTGGCTACAGATAAACGATAATCGTCCACATCCACAATGATGATTCTGGGTGCTCCAAAAGCCCGAGCTGATAGCATTGTAACAAGTCCTATCGGTCCAGCTCCCATGACCAAGACATTTGTTTCTGGACCAATATTAGCTCGGCGACAAGCATGAACTCCAACGCTTAAAGGCTCACACATTGCCCCTTCCTCCAAGCTGACATTGTCTGGTAGTTTAAAACATAGGTCTGCTGGATGCACTACCTGTTTAAAAGAAAGAACAAATCATCAATACTGGCCCTATTTTCCTCAGTAAATTTATTTGCACCTCATTCATTTCTTCAGAAAATGTGAAAAATATTCAATCGAGACATTCAACTAATTGTAACAGGAGTCCTTCAATTCCGTCATTGAAGGTTTATTACTAGTGGAATGACTGGTTATATAGCCTTTCTGAGAGGGCTCAGTGACACGAGAATTTTGAATTATTCGACATATCCTATATGTTACAAATTCAACTACATGAATGATAACATCAACCTTCAGATACGGATGCTCAGCTGCTAACACGACAGTATATTTCCATTATATGTCCATAGAACAACTAAAACAGGCGGCGTACATGGGTGCTATAAGCATAGAGACCTTACAGTAAGTAACACCATAAAGCATGTGAAACTACACTATCCTTATCATAGAATCCTGTGGACTTGAAGTGTGAACTGCAGCATACTTGTTTACCTGATTGGCAAGAGACCCATGAACTGGTGGAGTCGCGAAGAATTTCATCTCAGGGCATAGATTATATCGACCTTCTTTGCAAAGGTCGCATCGCCAGCAACTAATCCCGGGTTCCAATGCCACCCGGTCTCCAGGCACAAGATTCTTAACCTCACTTCCAACCTCCTCTATGATTCCAGCACACTCATGCCCAATGACCATCGGCTTTTTCACTACAAAATGTGCACACTGCAAGGTCTGAAAAGAACAACACGGATATATGGTTATCAGACGCCAGAATAAACAAAGAAAACCCACTAATTGGCACTCCCAACTTTCATTTTAGCTCATTTAGACCTGGGGCTAGAACTAATTCATTAATCCCCCGTCTGGTTCCACGAAAACAACCATAGAACAGAAACTTAATGGACTCCATTATTATGTACTGTTAATCCTAATTAAAGAAACTACTTACGAATTCGACTATATGCATCAATGCCTCAAAATACTGACTTTCGTTTCATTTTTCAAAGAATCCCAGCTACCCATCAGGAGTAAAGTGAATTTGTCAATGTAATGATAGTACCCAGACACAAATTACATTCATCAGTGACAGGAATAGCATAGGCAGTTGATGAAAAGTTGAACTATACCTTAAGGTAGTGAACATCACTTCCACAGATTCCAACGGCTTTCATTCTTACTCTAGCATCATGGGGTCCTATAAATCACAGAGAACAAACAGGCCAATCAAAACAAATAGATTGGTCAATCAACAATATCATATTCAGACAAGATCATGAACAAGAAAATTAGTTAGCTCTTGATACTACAAAAAGGAAGCAGAAAGAGAGAGATTGGATAAATACCAAGAGAAGGGAGCTTGAAAGGCTGAATCTTGAGAGTATTAACACCAAGAAGCCAAGCAGCCATGTTCTCTTCTTCTCCATCTTTGTTTTCCCCATGAGACATCCCTCCTTTGCCCATGTGTGCTATATCCTCTCTGAAAACACACACTCAGACTGCAAGTCAAAAGCTTTGGAGTGTAAGATGATAAGCAAGCTCTAGGATTCTGTATTCTTAAATTAGAGTTTTTTGTTTTTCTACAAGTCCATGAAATATGTGTATATAAAGACAAGAAAATTAAGATATTATGCCGAGGAAGGAAAAGGGGTGGACAGCAAGCACCTAGATTAGTTCTGTCTGTCATATTTTGCCTACTTATTTTCAAAACTAAATATCCATATTCTCCTTGTCCATATCCATTCCATCACTCTTGGCTATTGATTTTTTCCCCCTTATTCTATTTAATTTTACTTTACAAGGACCTAATGCGTTCTTCTTCTTTTTTTGCCACTTGGGACTTTGGTGCCATTGCCATAGTAAAAGAACATGAAGGTATATAACAACATAAACGTTAAAGATCAATCACTTTCAAGAGGTAGTGATAAATCAAATGCAAACCAAGCATGCGTAGTTGTGTTTGTCATTTAGGGCATTAGCATTTTCTGTCAAATACAGAATAGACATTTCGGTAAAAGCCAATGAAGAGAAAAAGACTAGTAGGAGGCAGCACTAGCTTGCTAGTGCTAAAAGAAATCGGATTAGATAAGATTCTCCTCTTCCATTCAAAAGGTTGACATTGTCGATGAGAATCAATTCTCTTTCTCAAAGAAGAGATTATAATTAAGATCCCTTTTGATAAAAACAGTGAGAAACTGAAAGAAAGTGAGAGATGGCACACGGTGGTGCTGATTTTATGGCATGCAAACAAGAAGAAGAGAACAAGGCTGCTTGGCTTCATGGGATCAAAACCCTTAAGATTCAGCCTTACCATCTCCCTCCTCTTGGTAAGGTCCACCCTCCTCTCAGATCATGAAATTCTGAGTCAAATAGATTACAATTACATCTTGTTTGATTAAATTTGCATCTTCTAGTAGGTATTGTTATAAAAATTGGGTGTTTATATATCTCTTGGTGAACTTTTAGGTCCTCTTGATGTTAAAGTAAAGATAAAGGCTCTTGGTATATGTGGAAGTGATGTTCATTACTTCAAGGTGACATGCAGCCTTAAACTGTTAAACCTTCTTTGTTGTTTTTCCCTCTGGTAAAGATAAGCGTAAATTAGATTTTGGACAAGTCCATATTAGTCTTCCAACAATATATAATTTCTTGATTGAGTCCTCCAACTACTTTTTTTATCAATAGGTTCCCCCATTTAGGAAATCTACATGAATTGGGGTGGGGGGTAATTAATAAAACTGGTAGTTGGAGACTCAATTGAGAAATATATATAGTTGGGGAACTGATATGAGCTCTGCCCTTCGTTTTGGCTCTTGTTACTTACTGATCATGTCCTAAATGTTATGTATGAATCTTGTTTTCATGATCACAAGACCATGAGATGTGCAAGCTTTGTTGTCAAGAAGCCAATGGTGATAGGACATGAATCTGCTGGGATTATTGAAGAAGTTGGGAGTGAAGTGAAGTCTCTAGCTGTTGGCGATCGAGTAGCTTTGGAGCCTGGAATCAGTTGCCGAAGATGCAATCTTTGCAAAGAAGGTCGCTACAATTTATGTCCTGAAATGAAGTTCTTTGGTTCTCCACCAACCAATGGCTCTCTTGCCAACAAGGTGATCAAATTGTTGTGGAGGGAGTTTTTAAGCCACAAAGGTTAATGCTGTCACTGCTGGTGATAAGAAACATAAATTTTGTTTCATGATAACAGGTAGTGCATCCGGCAAATCTTTGCTTCAAACTACCCGACAATGTGAGCTTGTCGGAAGGAGCTATGTGTGAGCCCCTCAGTGTTGGTGTCCATGCATGTCGCCGTGCACAAATCGGTCCCGAGACAAATGTATTGATCATGGGAGCAGGACCAATAGGCCTCGTCACTTTGCTTGTTGCTCGTGCATTTGGTGCCCCTAGAGTGGTGATTGTTGACGTTGATGATCGCCGATTATCCGTCGCAAGGAATCTTGGTGCAGATGAGATTATTCATGTCTCGACGAATATTCAGGTTATAAATGCTGAACATCCAGGGAATATTTGAGAACTTGTTTTTGGAATATGGAATATTTTGGTTTAATGTGCATCTTGTTTCACAGGATGTAGGTGAAGAAGTAATAAAGATACAAAATGCTATGGGTTCAGGAATTGATGTGAGCTTTGATTGTGTTGGATACAACAAAACCATGAGTACAGCTCTGAATGCCACAAGTTCAGGTGGCAAAGTTTGCCTTATTGGATTGGCCCTGACCGAGATGACTGTGCCTCTTACCCCGGCTGCTGCAAGGTAAGCAATCGTTAATTGAATCAATGATTAGTACAGCTCTATATTTGCTCTGGATTCTCAATAAGCACTTCTTTGAGCTTCCATCAGAGACTGAATCTGTATTTTGTGACGATAAAAGGGTGCTTCTTTTTGTAGGGAGGTGGATGTTATTGGCATATTCCGCTATCGGAACACATGGCCGCTCTGCATTGAGTTATTGAGAACTGGCAAGATTGATGTTAAGCCCCTCATAACTCACAGGTTTCGCTTCTCACAAGAGGAGGTAGAACAAGCCTTTGAAACTAGTGCCCAAGGTGGCGATGCCATTAAGGTCATGTTTAACATGTAGGGCTAAAGGCATGTATTCTATATCCTGTGTGAGGGGACAGATTCTAAGCTCTCTCTATTGGATTTGCGAGATCCATTATCAGGTGCAGGAAGCTAATCTATGAATGTCTCAACTGATAAATAAAAAGCAAATAACGCACAGGAAGATCTCTTCTTTTCTTTCCTCTTTTGGTGGATTGGTTCCTTATGACTTATGAGCCACAAGGAGAAGTTTGTGGAGCCAGGAATCGGTTTCCGGCAATCCCATCTTTGTAAAGATGGTTGCTGCAATCCATGTCGTGAAACGAAGTGCTTTGGCTCTCTTGCTTGCTAACCAGGGGATCAACTTCTTGCTTGAGGAGTTTCAAGCAACATGTGTTGGTAATAATAACTCTGATCCATACCTAAGAACTGTGGAACCTAGAAGTTTAAATAGTTGGGCAGAAAATTATGCAGAAACCAAACAACAACTTCCAAACTTTAATCACTACAAGAACTGTGGAACCAAGGGTTTTGTTTTCTGCTTCATACCAGGTAGCATAGTTTTAAATCGTGGACGGTTGATCATGGGAGCAGGACCGGTAGGCCTCATCACTTTGCTTGCTGCTAGCGCATTTGGTGTCCCTAGGGTGGTGATTGTTGACGTTGATGATCAGCATTTTCTTTGCATGCCCTTCTCGAGGTTCAAAAGGGAAGAGACAGTTGCTGTAGGGGTTCAAGTCTTGAATCTAAAGCTTCCATTTGAGGAGATTGAAGTCCTTTGCAACAATTTGGAGTTGATCAAGAGACAATCGGTCTTCATAAGGTGGTGATAAAGTCACATACTGATGCTCTTGCCAAAGAATTTACTCTCGACTTGAAGAAGAAGATCCCTCCTCTCTCTGGGTTTCCAACTCCCATCTTTTGAACTGGGAGAGATCACGAGACAAATTCTTAAAACAATACTAACAATAAATAAAAGTTGCAAATTTCTTTTTTTTTTTTTTTTTGTCCCTCTGATGAACTGTGTTCTGGAGGGCAAAAAGATACAGATCAATCTCACAGAAAACCTCTTCCTTCATGAGTATCCTGGAGAACGGATACAAATCTTGTAGACAAATGTTCCAAGCAAATTTCTGGACCCTTAAATAATTTCTTAATTCATAGAAAAAAGCTCTTTCCATCCAAGAAAAAAAAAAATCTGAAAGCTCACACAGTTCTCCTTTGCTGCCCTGGAATTCCTGCATTAATCTTCAGAACTACTACCATTGATGACCAGATAACAAATTCATGCTCACTCTCGCATTACAATTTGGAAATGAGGGCCAGTCTCTAGAGTTCATATGCACTTACGAAAGCCAAAATATAACTTAAATCACATGATTTACCTGCTTTATTTTTTAATTTTTTTGCATTACATGTAAGAATATTTCGATCACAAAAAAAAAAAATTATTGTCAAAAAAATTAGTCTGAAAGATATGGTAGATATGTATATATATATATATTTTTTACAGATAAATAAGATATAATGAAAAAAAAATTGAAGATATTGTATAAAAACAAATTAAGTTATTCATTTTTTATTATTATTTATTAAACTTTAGTAACTTTGTTCAATGTATACTGACAACATTTCATCAACGAGCATTTGGAAAGAAAATGTTTCCTTCATTAGCAGGAAAACTTGGACAAAAGTGGTTCAACCACTCTTGCCTACCTAGTTTGATTTGACTTTTACAAGCTTTGTTCTCTTATCTTCATCTCCTAAATTTAATTTTCTATTAATATTCTCCATCATTTAACACCACCAATGTACAGTCCGATTGGATTTTTAATGATATCTTTGGTGAAGCATTGATTCTGGTTAGCTTTTAGTCACTTCAGTCGTTTTGCTGTCACTTCCAATAGTTGTAGTAACACTGAAAATGTGAAATTTTGATGATTAATTGATGCTTAGTAGACACCCATCAATTAATTAGTGATGCTCGTTTTAATTCCATGTTGTCTATCATCTCATTCCACTATAATGTAGAACATGATATTACCATCGTTAGATTTAATATGAATTTAATCTCTTTATGTGAAAGTTGATCTCGAATAATTTTTTAATCCTAGTTTTTTTAACCAAAATTAAATTTAATATTGAATAATATTGACTATGAATAGTAATGATGAATCAACTAAAAAACTAATTATTTAATATTTTTATCAATTTTTATATTTTTAAATAAAAAATAAATAGATGTTAAGAAAAATTGAATGAAAAAAATATTTTTAAAATAAAATAATATTAAATTAAAGTGATTAATATTAGTTTAAAAAATTAATTTTAAAAACTATAAAGACTAATTGATTTATTTTTTAAAATTAGAAGGACTAATTTATAATTTATTCATTAAAAAGCATGGCATAATGTGCATCACATGCCAATTTAATAATTTCTTTTTGAAAATCTAATGACCGAAGTAGTGGCCATAAATGATGAATAGGGTTTTAACTATTAAAGTATCTAAGCATATTAAAGTAATTTCCAAGAAAAGTTTAGTCAATTTTAAACAAAATGGATTTATCAACTATTTATAATAAGAAACTTAGATCAAAGTTTAGCACATCACCGGTTACTAATATCAAATATAAGCCCACAAAAATAAATCAAATGAGATAGGATTGAAAAATCTTATATTTCAAGAAACATAATATATTATGTTTATCAGACAATAATACATATTAAATTCAAAATAAATATTTTTTTAAAGTTAATGTGAATTTATAATTTTATTTATCTTATTAATTAAATTTCACTTGATTCGTTATTATATTAATTTCTAGGGTCAAATGGTTTAAATTTCTTTTGAATTTTAAGTCATTTGAAAATCAGTTTTTAAATTTTTAATTTCGGATTAGACTTTTTTTCAACTATTTTTATTTGAAATTGGATTTTTTTCTTATGTTTTTATCAATTCTAACATATAAATAGAATTCTTTGGTAGCTAAAAATATGTTAAAATTTATGGATGTTTTATATAGTTTTCCTTTAAAACTTTTTTCTTCTCTCATAAATGTTAAGAAATAAAAAATTAAAGAATAATTTAGAAGAAAAGAAACAAGTTTTAGAAGAAAAGATAAAGTATTCATGAGTTTTAGCACATTTTTAAGTATTTGAAAAATTTAAAAGTCAGCCACTTATAAATCAAGTTAAAATTGATGGAAATCTTATTAAAAAAAAAACTCAATTTTAAATGAAAAATAATTGAAATAGAGTCCAATTCAAAATTAAAAGTTGAGATATTGATTCTCAAATTTGAAAAATTTAGCTTTAATTTCATGAATATCAAGATACATAAATTAGAAATTTATTTTTTTGTTAATTTTTATATTTTTTAAATAAAATAAATAGCTATTATGAAAAAAAAATTGATGAAAAAAAGACTGTTTTTGAAATAAAATAATATTAAATTAAGGTGATTAATATTAGTTAAAATTTAATTTTTAAAACTATAAGGACTAATTAATTTATTTTTAAAATTAGAAGGACTAGTTTATAATTTACTCGTTATAAATGACAGGGCATGATGTGTATCACATGCCAATTTAATAATTTCTTTTGAAAATCTATTGACCGAAATAGTAGCCATAAATGATGAATAGGGCTTTAATTATTAAAGTATCTAAGCATATTAAAGTAATTTCCAAGAAAATTTTACTCAATTTTAAACAAAATGGATTTTTCAACTACTTATAATAAGAAACTTAGATCAAAGTTTAATACATAACCAATTACTTATAGCAAATATAACCCCACAAAAATAAATCAAATGAGATAGGATTGAAAAATCTTATAGTTCAAGAAACATAATATATTATGTTTATCAGACAATTATATATATTAAACCCGAAATAAATATTTTTTTTAAAGTTAGTGTGAAGTTAGAATTTTATTTATCTTATTAATTAAATTTCACTTGATTCATTGTTATATTAATTTCAGGGTCAAATGGTTCAAATTTCTTTTGAATTTTAAATCATTTGAAAATCAGTTTTTTAATTTTTAATTTCGAATTAGACTTTTTTAACTATTTTTATTTGAAATTGGATTTTTCTATTACGTTTTTATCAATTCTAACATACAAATACAATTCTTTGATAGCTAAAAATATGTTAAAATTTATGGATGTTTTATTTCTTTTTCAAAACTTATTTCTTCTCTCCTAAATGCTAAGAAGCAAACAATTAAAAAACATTTTAGAAGGAAAAAAATTGAAAAAAAAATAAAGTATTCATAAATTTTGGCATATTTTTAGATATTTGAGAAATTAAAAAGTCAAGCACTTACAAATCATATGCACTTTCATGGTTAAAATTGATGGAAAGCTTATTAAAAAAAAATAGATTTCAAATGAAAAATAATTGAAAAAAAGTCCAATTCCGAAAATAAAAGTTGAGATATTGGTTTTCAAATTTGAAAAAACTAGCCTTAATTTTCCAACTAATATACATACATTAGAAATTTAGACATTTATGTCATATAATTTGATATGATACACTAGCTGGCTGGCTGGCACACTCTTTAATTCCAACTTGTTAATTGTATTTAACAAACTCCAATTTAATTAGGAGATTTGGGGTTTAGCTAGCAAGCAACTTTAGTAGCTTACGTTGTTAATTATGTTTGCGCAGTTGCATGATTTGCCAACCTTGATAAACAAGGACCGTCCAGCTGTGTGGTAAGCAATTGATTTAGTTGGCTTGAGCTAAATTATATATATTTTATTTATTTTAAGTTTGATTTATATAAGGTGTTTTAAACATCGGGGGTTAACCGTTCAGTCTTTGTCTATTGCACGTAAATAATCTTTAAATTAAGATACAATTTGATATTAAAAAAAATGATGAATAATTAATGATGCTGTTAGATATTAATAAAATATTGACTATAGTCTCATAAATTTCCTACAAAAAGAAAGATGGTATTTTTTTTCCTAAAAAAATTTACAATAAAATTGTTATTTCCTCTCTTTAGATCAATAAAAAAATCTTTTCCTTTACACTTTTTTTTTTAATCTCCAAAATATTCTAAACTCAAAAGATATAGATAATTCTTTCGCTATTCTATTGAATGTATAAGACGAGAATAGCTACCCGAAAAGTTTTTTACATACATAAAAATTTAAATTCGAGACCATTTGGTTAAACAAACATAGTTTTTTTCGCCGTGTCAACATTTTTGGATTTACCTTTACACTTTTTGGTCAATATATCCTCTCCAAATTTGATCCTTCCAAGTTTCAACCTAAGATATGTAAAAAAAAAAATCTTCATTGAAAGGGATTAATTTAGTCCACTAATTTTGTTGAAACAATAATTTTATATTGAATTATTTTCTCAAGGAATGATTATAATTGAATATGGTTCTTTCATATTGGGAATATATATTAATGTTGCATTTTTATTTTTTTTAATCGAAGTTGGTTAAAGAAACTTATCAAACTCAGGTGGAGTCTAGGGTTTAAATTGAAAAGGATGGAATGGGTTGCTCTATCAAAGTCAGCAGTAGATTGTAGAAGAATAACCTAAAGTAATTAACATTAATTTGGACCATTAGTTGTTGAGATGTTAATATACAAAATTGAGTAGTTAATTAGTGGTTAAACGGTGAAGTAGCGGTCCATTCTTTCTGAGAATTAGATCTTCTCGAATAGATTCCCACTTTCCCTTTCTCTAGGCCATCCATCTCCTTTGCAAAAGAAAAAAAAAATTCAATCAAATTTGACAGTCGACCATAGAATCTCGTGAGCAAAATAGAAATTAGTCCCTTTAATTTTGAAAAACAAATTAATTCATCCATCTTTTTTAAAAAACTAATTATTTAGTTCCCATATTTTTAAATTTTTTTGTAACTTAATCCTTTAAAAAAATTTGATATTTTATTTTAAGAAATAAAAAATGAAAAAGAATAAAAAATATGGAATGATTGATGAGAAAACATGATATTTTTTACAATTAAATTAAATTAAATTAAACATGGTCAACATCGATCAAGAAACAAAATAATTAGTTTCTAAAACAAGAATGAATAATTAATTTATTTTTTAAAAATAAAGAGATTAATTTATTATTTACTCCGAATCTCATCCATTTCCCAATCTATTCTTTTTTTAGGAAAAAAAAAAACAAAAGAAATAATTGCAAAACGAAAAGCCAATGAATTTTTAAATATAATTGGAAACTCTTTTTTTTTTTTCAAAAATAACAATTTTATTAAATTGAAATTGAGAAATGTTTATATCTCTATATCACAAACCAACCAAGGAACAAAATGATTCTCTATAAAGAAAATGAAATGGGCTTAAATGTCACTATAAAAACGTCTCAAAATATACATTGCAAATTCTATTAGAAATACTTTTAAAATTATTATTATTATTATTAAGCTATCATTATTCATTAGTAAGAAAAACGAGATACATATGTAAGCAAAATAAAAGACGATTTCGATCCAATTCTTAACGAGTTATTACCCCGTTTGACATACCGTGTTGAAGAAAACTCGCCTTTTCCATTTCATTAATAAACCAAGTACATTCTCAAAATTTAATTCATCATTTTGGACTTTTGGACATTTATTTCTCACACAAATTCTTTTGATTCCAATTACTAGGAATTAATTGCACTTATTAGGCATTAATTTGATCCATGACCCATTCAAAAATTGAACTCAAGTCTCAATATAGTTGGGGGCTGAAAATGATACCAAGTTATTCTGGGACCTCTAGTTCTAAGTCAGAAATAGTCATCACCAATTTGTGAAAAAATACATAATTATGACTTGGTCAGCTAGTCCCAGAGGTCAATTTGAAGCATGCAAAAAGGGCACCATGCCTAAAAGTCCAATGCCTCACCAAGTCTCAATATTTGGTCCACACATGAGCTCCAATAGCAATGAAGAACAGTGGCCTTAATAAATCTCTTCGGCTAGCCGATATCCTTGGCACTTGGGCAATGTTAGTTGGTTATTTGGACGGTTTTTGATGGTTACAGGTTTCTCAAAGGTGGTGAGTGGTGGGGAGGCTCTATTTCGTCACGCAATATGCCACTCTCCCACCCTAATTTCACCCTCTAGCTAGCCTCCTTAGCCCATCACGATCCTCCCTCATTTTCTCCAGCCCTTTCTTGAGCTGACAACCATGTAAAATTCCTAATCTGTCCTTGTGTATTAAATTACACTCATAATCAAATGGTTTAATGTTCAAGAAAACCACGAACTATATATGTTTTAATGATTTTAGCTTGTTTTTTAAAACTTATATAGAAATGTCACAATTTAAGTATCCGATTACAATACTAGTACCGATTTAATTTTTCGACCAAAATTTTGATCAACGCCGATATGACGGATAACAAAGCATGAAACGTGAACATTAGCAAGTCACATAGGATCCATGTAAGCATGACACACGGACTTTAGCAAGTCACGTAAAATTCACATAAACGAGTTACATGGATCCTATGTGGCTTGCTAAAATCTACATGTCATGCTTACGTGAACTGTCATGTCAACGTTGATTAGAATTTTAGTCAAAAAATCAGATTGGTGGTAATGATTTTATCGAAGGCTTAGTTAGTGATTTTTTTATACAATTTTTAAAAAATGAGTTAAAATCATTAAAAATATATATAATTCATGATTTTCTAAAACATTAAATCTAATCAAATTATTACTCGTATCTTTAGTTTGAGTGCAATCGAAACAAAAATTATAGCTTAAGGGATGAAATTTACTAATTATTAGCATATGAATATCTAGAAAGTAGAGAATATCTATGAAGTACAACTTGGCCATGAAATTATGTTAGGAATAATAGAAACATGATTACATAGAAGAAGTTTTGATTTCTGAATTCTTACTCAAAGACACTAACTTCAAGGCCTTGAGAAAAGTTAGAAAAAGAAAGAAAATGTTGTGTTCAGGTAATAACTTTGTTGATCTCTATTGTTTTTTAATCCTTGAAATTTACCAAATGCAAACCAATGGTGGACAATCTTTGTTTTTCAAACAGAATTTTTGTACTAATGACCAAATGGTCAAAAATTGAAAACTCCATTCTTTTGGTGATTCTTGACTAATGGACAACAAGTAATCACACATGTCAAGAAAGATTTGCTCCACATAATTCTAACCAATTTGTGTTCTTGCCTTCCCAAGTTATAATCTAAAACCTAATCCCTTTAAAAGATGTTTAATAAAGGTTTCAAATATTTTTATATATATATTAGTCTTAATTAATTATCAAAGTCCTTTTCAGTAATTTGATGACTAGGAAGATGACTTATGTGTAACCTCTCAACCTTTCAAACACGTCCAAAATACCAAGTTTCCCATATCGTTGAACCCAACTTCCTCCCAACGCAAACGTCCAAATATCTCTCTTGCTTTATCAACCACAACTCCATTAATTGCCCATTTGATCCCTCTATTCTTAGTTTTTTCTTACTTTGACCATCCTACTATATGTTGTCTTAATATCCTCCCTTTACTCTCCACTTTGTTCTAATACCAAGATGATCTTTCACTCAAACCTAAGAAGCATGGTGGTCTAAGAGGTTATAACCTTCTCCCTTGATTTTTTAAGTTCCTACCTTTAAATTAATATCTAAGAGAATTATTTTTCTAAATGCACTTGGTGAAGATGAGAAAGCGTGTTTTAAAAATCATTTATTAAAGAGAAATAGTTTTAATTAGCACACAAACTGATCAAAATATATATCTTATTGTAGAATAAGAAAAAAAAATTATATCAATTGTCATCAAAGATTGCCGATGATGATTATAAATCATATCTTTGTTTCTCCGAAATAAAATAAAAATATTGAGAATATCATTATTACTTTTTATTATGTACTAAAACTATCCTTGTCTTTGACCGTAGTTGACAAAAGGATCAAGTGATTACAAAAATACAAAGTTGAAAGATGGAATTGGGATAAAAATAGTATAAGGACTAAACTAAGATAAAATTAAAAGTAGGGGAACCAAATAATGCCATTAACCCACTCACCAAATATATAAATACATACACATAACTTATGCTCTACATATCAACACATACATTCCATTTCCTTCCTGTTTCATCAAAAGATTCAAAACCCATCTTTCCTTTTTATCTTATATTTACATGGATTTCTCTTCTTCAAAGAAAACCATGAAAATTTCGTTAGCAGTAGCTGATGCAGCATCATGGTACTGTGCTATAGTCCTCTTAAGCCTAATATTATTGGGTTCTATCAGAGAGAATTCCGTCACAGAGGATCCGCCTGTCAGAGGCAGCCAGTTTTTGGACAGACCTTGCGATGAAATATATGTTGTCGGAGAAGGAGAGACCCTTCACACCATCAGTGACAAGTGTGGTGACCCGTTTATAGTGGAGCAGAACCCGCATATCCATGACCCGGATGATGTTTTCCCTGGACTTGTCATCAAGATCACTCCTTCAAAGCCAAGGAAGTTGCTGAGGTAGTTCTTGGAGATGATTGATGCCTTCTTGATAGTCACCGGAAAGTATAGAAATGTTTTCTGATCAGAAGGCTTTTTCCATGCTTGCCTTTTTCCTTTTCTCTTCTTTAACTTATTAGGCATACATATGCTTTCTAGTTTTATTACTTTGTAATAGGAAATGAATTGTATCATAGAGTTCCAATAATTTCAAGGCTTCAATTAGGTCCTTGATGCCCTATAGAGATAGGTCGATCTTTTCCTAGAAAAGATAAATTAAGGTTGCATAAAGGGGAGAATGAATCCTCAAAGAACTTGGAACTCTTTGTAGTTCCTGAATTTCAATTTTTTCTTTTACACCCATTTTTGTATATATATGTGAAAGAAGTTGATTCATAGCTGTCGTAAATTTATTTGGGATTTTCCTAATCTATTGATTGTTTGTGTCTACCATCAAATTCCTTTCTTTCTTTTTTTCTTTTTTTTTTTAATTTTTAAATATATTTTGCAAGTTATGGTGAGATATTTTTATAATTTGAAACTTACTGAATGAATATATTGTTTTTTTTTTTAATTTTTTTCCCTTATGCAAATGATATTTTCTTTTCTCTTCTTTCTCCACAACTGTCTTTTAATAATTTGAAAGAGGTTTCGTTAAAACACATCGGTATATTTGAGTCGATGGGATCGGAGGAGAATTTTGTTTATTTTTTATTTTTTCTTATTCAAATATGGGATTTCCTTTTCTTTATTTCTCCACACAACAGCTTTTTATTTCTATAGCTTATTATTTTAATTAGGCACAAGTTTTCTTATTGGGATCTTTTATGATACACAAAAAAACAAGATTGGTCTTGACTCTTGAGGTAGTTGCCAGTTAGAAAGGACATGCAGAGCCCCATAAATCACTTGTCTCGCAAGATAAATTAAGGAGGATCCATCAAGAATTCACAACTGTTTTTAATGATAAAAACAAGAGTACAACTTTTGTGTTGATTTTTACATATATATATATATATATATATATATATATATATATATATATATATATATATATATATATATTTGCTTTCTTTTTTTGAGAAAGAGATGTTAGTAGTTTTAAGAGAAAGATGGTAAAGATTTATATTCAGCATTTAGCTTGTAATGGCAACCCTTGCACTTTGAAAGGGTTTGGGAGTAATGGTTGACCTTCGAGGGCCATTTATTGATAACTATAGCATTGTTAATTGAGTTGTTTTTTTGTCTTTAATAGATTGGACTATCTTGATACCATGAGGTAGCTGTGAATATTGATTATTTAGTCTATGAAGTTTCATGTTCTCAATAAATAAACGGATAAATAAACAAACAAATAATCATATAAAAAACAAGCACTATAAGAAATAAATTCGATTTATAATATTATCAAACAACCCATTAATTATCCTCTCATTTATTTATTTATTAATTAGGATAAGACGAGTGAAAGATACTCACACTTTTAGAGAAGCTAATCGTTTGACACTTTGACTCAATGGTTTGCTTCACTTGGTAAGCTTACTTTTTTCTTTAGGTGTTTTGTATTTGGAGCATGATCTAGTAAATTATAATAACCTTCTTCAAAATGATATTTGTGGAGTTATTTTTTTCCTACTTTTTCGTAACAAAATGTTTTTGTTTAGAGCTTAGTCTCTTTCAAGGATTAAAAAAAAAAAAGCGCTACAAGAAATAATTTCGATTTATAATATCATCAAGCAACCCATTAATTACCCCTTATGGATTTATTTATTAATTTGAATAAGACGATAATAGTGTCTTTTGCTAAAGTAGAGAATTGATGAAACAATGTTAATTAGATGATTTGAAGACATTAATTACCTAGCTATAAATAAAAATAAAAATGCTAATTAATACCATTCCACACGATGTGATGATGTGATTGTTTATCTAATAAATCTTCTCATCGCTAAAAATAAATAAAAATTTATGAATCACGTTTTAGTGCCACGTACGTTATGGTCTGTACGTGGTGGCCTGGTGGGGTGTCCGATCTTTCCTCTCTTATCCAATTGAGTTAGGTCGAATTAGCAATATTTTCTTTTCTGGTGGCACCAAAAGACATGCTGATCTTGAAGCAGCAAAGTTGATTGTGACCACTTTGAATTTCGCAGCACACCCCACCAAGGGATGCTCATGATGCAATGAATACCATCATATATATATATATATATATATATATATATATATGAAAATGAAAAAAAAAACACTATTTACATTGATTAACGTGGAAAAACCCATCAGACAAATTAATCAGAATTTCCCTGTTTAATAGGTAAGTATTATGGTCAATTATCCATGTGATCAAACAATACTATGAAAGATTAGAGCGTGAATTTTGTTGAGTATTGAATGGTCTAACTTCTTATCAATAATTCAATATCACTATAATGAATGATTTGGTAACCTATTAAATCCACACAAATCTCTCATATTAGTCTTATTATATAACAAGGTATGTTGTCATCAGTAAACAAACCGACCAGATGCCACCTTAATTGGTACAAGTAGTAATAACAATAAAATCATTGATGTTAACGGCAAGGTTAAAGGTTCAAATCCAAATTTTCTTTCTTTTTTTTTTACCACTACAAGACTTATGTTTTTTTTTTTTTTTTTTTTTTTTTTGGGTTTCAATAATATGGGAAGTTTGGAACGTCTAGTTTTATAAAATAAATTTACTTAATTATGAAAATTAAAAAATCCATGTACATCGATTAACATGGAAAACCCCATCAAAAAAATTAATCAGAATTCCCCTGATTAATAGGCAAGTATTATGGTCAATTAATTAATTATCCATCTGATCAAACAATACTATGAAAGATCAGTGCATGATTTTTGTTGAGTGTTGAATCGTCTTTTCTGATCAATAATTCAATGTCACTATAATGAATGATTTGGTAACCTATTAAATCCACATGAGTGTCTCATATTATTCATATGATATAAACATGTATGTTGTCACCAATAAACAAACCGATCAGATGCCACCTTAATTGGTACTACTAGTAATAACGATCAAATAATTGGTGTTAATCACAAGAAATTATTCAATGTTAGGAGTTTTAATCTTCTAACAAGAAGTTAAAGGTTCAAATCTTATTTTTCGTTTTTTTTTTTTGATTATTACAAGACTTATGCTTGCTTTTCTGTTTTTAAGAATGCGAAAGGATTGGTATCTCCAATTTTAAAATAAATTCATATTTATCAAAAACAGTTGAAGGATGATCAGTTTCTGAATTAAAAAAAAAAGTCGACATCGTGTTCTTAATTTATTTTCTATTTTTTACTATTAAATTACAATTACAACATATATACAGTGATATACTATTTTCTTCGTAGCACTTGGTTATGACTAAAAAATAGAGAGAGAGGTTATTATTGGCAAATATAAGAGGACTTAGCATCGAATATTTTGATAAATTTCCTTCTATGAACTTCATCTACCGTTCTCCCTGTTATTAAATAGCCTCCGAAATATTATTGTTTTTCAGAATTGTTTGTGAATCAGCTTTTCTTTTTTGAGTAGTTTTCAATTTTTTAGTTCCACAGCATTCTAACTAGGTCTTAATGAGTGCCTAATCAAATTTCAACTAACGAATCCTCTTTTTTTTTTTAATAGTAAGAGTATTTTTGGATTAGCTCAAGTATTAATTAAAATTAAATCTATTTTTAAACGATTTTAAAAATATATCCTTAAAGCCATATTGTGTATTAAAAAAATTAATAAATTTTCAAGCTAACGAATATCAAGTATCTTATACGTTTGTCTAAGTGTTAAGAATTAGAAAATAGATTAGGATAAGATAGTCATGCTGCATTGTATATCTAACAAAATGTCATTTTTAGGGTGTTTATGGATTTTTTTGGACTACCACAACTAATTCTTTATAGATTCAAGCGTATCTTTTGATTGATGATGGCTCATTTGCGTTTTCAAAAAGAGATTTCATGTCTAGTACTTATCATAACTAGCTCCACAACATCCCAGCTAGGTCTTAATTGGTGCCTAATCAAGCTAACAGCAATAGCTTGGTTTTCAATTCTTTAGTTCGACTATAAGAATTTTGCTAAATAGCGATGGATTTTTTCATCGTTATTTCATAAAAATCTGCATCTATATTGAATTTACAACGGATCAGAGATAATAAGTATTATATCGATAATATAGTGGTTACATTTTTTTAACGACTAAATTTTTGTTATCATTGTTAATTCGTGAATTCTAATAATCTTTATTCGTGCTATTTATTTTTGTTTAATAATGGACATATGTTCGTTGTTAATTTTCATTGCTATTTAGTGAAATTCTGATAATGTTTCACAACATTCTAAGTAGGTCTTAATTAGTGCCTAATCAAATTTAAAGCTAATGAACCTTTTTTTTTTCAAAGGTAAGGTTATTTTTGGGTTAATCTGCACGTTAATTAAAACTAATTTTTTTTCCAAACAATTTTAAAAGTATATCCTTGTAACAATTTTGCGTTTTTGAACAAATTTAAATTTTCAAGCTAGCAAATCTTGGGTATCTTATACGTTTGTCTAAGTGTTAAGAATTTTTTTTTTAAAAAAAAGATTAAAACAGGGTATTCATGTGCGTTGCATATCTTATGAAAGACAAAATAAATAATGATAATAATAAAGAAAGAAAGTATTGATGTATGTTTCTTTCTGTTCTTGCTAATGTCTCAATCGTGCAGTAAGCAACCAATATAAAATTAATAGTTAGAAAATATTCTAATAATTAAGATGGGACCATACCCAGAAAAAAAAAACTATGTTATTAAATATTCAATTACGTCTTCGTAATAAACATTAGAATATATATAATACTTTAATTAATTCATAGACACTAGAGTATGGGAGTAGAAATGCTGCAAATCACTATCCATCTCTATTTTTTTAATTATTATATATAGTCCTCAACAATCAAGGCAAACACAAAAAATCCGCAAAACAAGTGCTGAATCAACTTATGCATTA